ATTATTATTATTATTAGAACATTTCTATGCTGCCCCTTGCCGAAGCCTTGGGGCGGCTTACAACACAATAAAATACAATACAATACAAAAATAACAATATAAAATTAAAATTAATAATATAAAATAAATAAAAAATATAAACGATATAAAAGAAGTTATAAAAGAAAAGTTATAAAAGTTATAAAAGAAAAGAAAAGAAAAGAAAAGAAAAGAAAAGAAAAGAAAAGAAGTCGCCATGGCCAGATAAATAAGTAAATATTGTTAACAATTAAAATGATGTTTAAATAAAAAGGTCTTCACCTGGCACTGAAAAACAAATAACGACACCAGGCGGACCTCTCTGGGGAGCACATTCCATAGATTGGGCACCACCGCAAAGAAAGCCCTCCTCTGAGTACCTACCCTCCTAATTTCTTTCACGGAGGGTTCCCGAAGAAGGGCCTCTCCCGCAGATCGCAAGGGGCGGTCGGGCATATATGGATGTAAGCGCTCCTTCAGGTAACCAGGTCCCAAGCGGTTTAGGGCTTTATAGGTCATAACCAACACCTTGAATTGGGCCTGGACTTCAATGGGAAGCCAGTGAAGCTGTCGGAGGACTGGAGTCATGTGAACATAATGCCCTGTCCCCGTCAGCAACCTGGCAGCTCTATTTTGAACCAATTGAAGTATCCGGACCGTCCTCAAGGGAAGCCCCACGTAAAGCGCGGTACAGAAGTCAAGGCGGGAAGTCACCAGCGCGTGTGTCACCGTCGCCAGGCAGTCATACTCCAGGTAGGGGCGCAGCTGATTATTCAGCCGAAGCTGAAGGAAAGCGCTCCTCACCACCGCTGTCACCTGAGCTTCCAATGAAAGCTCCGGGTCGAGGAGTACTCCTAAGCTGCGGACCTTGTCCCTAAGAGGGAGTGCAACCCCATTCAGGACCAGGTCAAATCCACCCTCTCCGAAGCCCGATCCGCCAACCAACAGGACCTCCGTCTTGTCTGGATTGAGCTTCAGTTTATTGGCTCTCATCCAGCCCATTACCTCGGCCAAGCACCGGTTCAGCACAGCCACTGCCTCACCTGGATTAGTGGAAAATGAGAGGTAGAGCTGGGTATCATCAGCGTACTGATGATTCCGCAGCCCACACCTCCTGATGACCTCTCCCAGCGGTTTCATATAGATGTTAAAAAGCAAAGGGGACAAAATGGAGCCCTGTGGTACTCCATGGCATAGCTGCCATGGCGCAGAGCCATAGTCCCCCAGCACTACCTTCTGGAAACGGCCGTTGAGATAGGAGTGGAACCACTGCAAAGCAGTGCCTCCGACCCCCAATCCCGCTAGCCTATCCAGAAGGATACCATGGTCGATGGTATCGAAAGCCGCTGAGAGGTCCAGAAGAACCAACAGGGTACCATGGTCGATGGTATCGAAAGCCGCTGAGAGGTCCAGAAGAACCAACAGGGACGCACTCCCTCTGTCCTTCTCCCTGCACAGGTCATCATACAGGGCGACCAAGGCAGATTCAGTACCGTACCCGGGTCTGAAGCTGGACTGAAATGGGTCCAGATAATTATACAACTCAGAGATGGCAAATGGTTGTTAAACACACACAAAAACATAAATACAAACCCAGGCAGAACCTGTCACAGTGGCATCTGCCCTTTCTTGCTGTTAAGTTATGGCCTGCTCACTTTCAAGTCCAATGCAATAAATTCTTGCAGGGAGAGGCATCTTGCCCCCCCCCTTTTTCTTTCCACAAAGTGTTCAATTTTCCTTCCAAGCCTCACAAGCACCAGCTGCCTGAGGTTTTAGACATAAATCAGTATTGGTCTTCCTCCTTAGCTTCATCTCTACTTACCATTCAATGCCTTTTACCAAAAATCCCAGTCTGGCTAGGAGATCTCTCCCTGCCAAGTTACAAATTTGCCCCCACAGTACAAAATCACACAACGGTTTCACCATGCTCATGTTTTACCTGAGCAGGTTCAAATATTTTCACTTTTACCAGATTACCTCCCACTCCTTGAGTAATCAATTCCCCTTTTCCCCAGTTGCATTCCATTTGGAATCATATTCATTGTGGAGCAGGTAGCTCCAGAGCCTACTATAAATACCATGTCTTTCCCAAATGGTTCCACTTTCAAATTTATCAAAGGTTCCCTGTGGGTCCTCCTATGAGGAGACCCCTGACCTTCCTAATCTTTGTCCATATTCATGAAAGAAATCAACCTCTCGTCTCCCCTCAGCTCAGGGCATTCTCGTTTAAAGTACCCAACTTTTCCACATTGATAGCATCCTGCACTTAATTCTTCATTCATTCGCCAAAGCTTAGGTGTGGGCTGAAATCCTCTTCCTCGACCTCATCCTCTATCTGACTTACTCCCATTTCCTCTATTGCTACTACATTCCATCCTTTGAGTCCATTTTTCCTCATCCTCTCTCCTTGCATACACTTTGTGTCTCTCTCAACAAATCTACCAACGTCCTTGCCTCTCTTCCATCTAACACCTGCAACTTCTGTTCTGCCTAATAGCCTCCCCTGCCTTCCCTGCAAACTGACACTTCAGCAATATCTATCTGATGGGCTGGATTCCTGAATCCAGTTGCCCAATTTTTATATTTTTTTTCATCTGTTTCTTCAGTCTCTCCAGCCACTCAGATGGAGTATCATCTTTCTTTTATACATAAGACATAGTCTTATGTACATTAAGAGACTGAGGTACTGCTTCTTTGATTCCCAAGATCATATACTCTAATAATTCCCAACTCTCCCTTCTAGAAAACAGCACAGAGCATCTCCTGCTCTGTTGAGATTTTCTCTATTCCAAACATTTCTAGCTGCCTGTTGGATCAAACTCAATTCTTCACCAGAAAACAAAATACAAGCAAGCAAACAAGCAGACAGACAGACAAACATAGCTTGTAGTTCCTGCCTAAAAGGTTTCACCTGTGCTGCAGTCAGAGGGGACTCCACAAACCCAAATCCTCCCATTGCCAAAGTACCTGCCCAAAAGGGGCCATAATAAGATTTTGCTGTCCTCATGCTTTAGGACCAATCAGCAAAACCTCCCCCTTTAAGCCATGGCTAAGATTTTTTTGTAAGGTGGGATTTCCATCCTTGTTCCATTTATAATCTGGTTCCTGTAGGATATAGGTTGGCCAGACCTTTCTGCAGTACTTAATCATTTGAGTCTTGTTTAAAAAAAACATGTCCAATTAATCAGATAGGATTTTTATTAAAAGAGTGGAATAAACCCTAATGGGGAGTGTACCGGTATTTCTTGTTGGGATTTAATCTCTCTAGTGGGCTTTGTATTTCTAGAACGCATCCTTCCTTACTCTGTCTTCTATTAGTTATGTCCCGCAATCACTCTGCATGTGCTTGGTACCATTCCGGCCGCTCCCCTCACAGGGACACGGAACCGCATACTAGGTCCTCCACACTCATGCGTCCGTTTGGACTTCTCTTTCACACTCCGGGACCTCACACTCACACACTTATTACAACACAATTATTACATATTTTTACCAGCAGTTTTATTTTCCTAGGCTTAAGGTACTGATCACTCAGCAGTTCCAGTTTACCTGGTGAGACTACTCCCGACCCGATCACATAGCGTGTCGGTTAACTCACCCTTAGGACACCGCACCAGTGGGACTATTATGACTCTCCGTGGTCTTTTACCACACCTGGCCGGACTGTCCTTTTGACCACCCAGTGAGACTACTCCCAACCCGTTCACACAGCGTTAACTCACCTGGGTCTGTGCACAGAGTTGCCTGGTCGAAAACTCTTCAAACCTAGGTCCTAACCGCTGTTTCTGAGTTGTAGCCACCCGGATCCTTGTCCCTATTTTGTTTGGCTCAGGCAGTTGACGGAGGAGCCGATGACAGACTCACCACCGGCCGCCGAACTCCGGATCGTTCCTCCTCGCCTCCTCCGAAAGATGCCATGAGCCCCACATTGGGTGCCAATTGTGAGATTTAAAACTCCTTGAGACAGGATTCAAGTGGATACAAGCAGTTTATTCCATACAAAAAGCGTTTGCAAAGGCTGGCTCAATGCCTCAGTAGTCTGAGAAACAAAGAGCAATCTTTTACTGTTTACAAGAGATTTTATACATTTCTTTCCCCGATGCTCAGCACTATCCCCGCTTTGCCATTGGCTGGTTACTAAGAAGTCACAATCTTCTCCATCCGCCTACATCATACTACTCCTTAATATGTCCCCCCCCGCTCATACATCCCATGTTCATGCTAATGAGCCTACTACCTATGTGTGTTATTTACTATTCATAAACTTATTACACTTGCACAGTACCTTCTAAGAGGTCAACAGGCCAAAGTGGCCTTGAAAATTCTTACTTGACGCCAAAATGTTTCTTAAATCTAGTGGGAAGGATAAGATAATGAGAACAGGCCTTTATTCATTCTAAAAGATACAGATTCTATGCTTCTTAAGAAAGAACAATCCTTCACTCATATTTTAAAAGACAGACTTTACACTTCCCACAGTGCTGAGCATGGGAATGTGGTCTGAGAACCTGGCATAGTCTTGAGTTTGGATTACCCCTAAAACAGTATTTCCACAAACAAGGAAACTGGTCTCCTTGTAAGTGCCAAATTCTGTACTAAGTCTGGCTTTTAAATCATCCTTTGTAATATAAATGTTTAAAAGTTTCTAATTCCGGGTACTAAGCCATTGTTTCTAAAAACACACTCATCGTTCCTGGAATAAAGGTTGTGTGAAGCCAACATCACATTTGGCTTGCGCACTTGCAATAAGTAGCGTGTCCCAGCGAGGCTAAAACAACACCTTGTCCGTTTCGTAACCCAGCCTAGGCTAAAGCTCACATAGCCTTCGCCCCTCCGGGCTCTCTCTGCGAAGCATACACTTCCACTTTCCTTGCCCGCAGCTGAAGAGGCCTATTACAACAGCGTGCAATTTGCTCCGTTCTTTCACACGTGACAGAGGAACCGCGCACGCGCGGTCTGAGTTTCTCCCCTGCCCAGATAATCCCGGAATATCATGGCGGCCGGAGGGGCTGGCGTGGATGTGGGGATGGCCGCGTCCCGGTTGCAGAGCTGGGAACGAGAAAGCGCGGCCAGAGAGGCGGCGGAAGGTATGGGCACGAAGCAAGCGGTCATAGAAATGGTCTGGAGACGGGACGGCGTGCTTTGGCCATGTCTGGGGGAAATGAGGAGGGGCTGCATGCTGAGTGAGGCGGCGGCGGCGGCTCGAGGGCTGGACTAGAGGTTAATGGGGTCAGCTGGGGAGGGGATAGAAAGCGGAGGTTATAGCTTCAGCTTTAGGGCCTGTGTGAGGGTTTATCCTTGGAATTTGTACTCTGTGTCAGTATTCAGTCCACGAATGTGTAAAGCAGCTTCCCCAACCCAGATGCTTTGGACCTCAGCTCCCACCAGCTCCAGCAGGCATGGTCAATAGGAATGCCGGGAGTTGTAGTCCAAAACATCTGGAATATTTCAGTTTAGGGAGATTGATGTAAAGTAACACAATTAGTGCCTCTGGGCATGTATAGAGTGCCTTTGCTTTACCACTAAGTAACTGAATACCATTCACCGATATCTGGGGAAAAGGCACAATGAATTACATTTAGTAAATCATACAGTAAAAGTGGTGCCCACAAGATGTTTATAGGAGAAGTCAGTTGGTATTTTAAGGTGTAACATGATATTGATTAAATGCAGTTAACGATTTTAAAGTTCTGGTAATCCGTAGGAATAATAAGTTGACCTGGGTATGAGGCAGTTCTTGTGGGCAAGGCTGCCTAGGGAGAAAACAGTACATTGCAGAAGGGATAACTTTAGAAAGGTTTCTAATCATACCTGGTCCTAATACCATGCCATTTTCCCTGGACTAATAACTGTTCTTGTCTTCTGATCATTATCCTGCATCACTCACTCATAAAGCTCTGAAAAAAAATAGAAAAACTTGGCCTTTACCACTCTGACTAAATTATGAAAGCAAAAGAGCAGTTAAAAGGTAACCAATCTACATTTAAGTGCACTTGATTTGTTTTCTTTAACATTCAGGTGCATGTTTTCTGTGTTCCTGAAAACTTCCCTGTTTACAGTTTGAGAAATAAAATTTATTCAGATGATGTAGTGTGGTTGCCACTTATTAATTCATCCTGACAGAATTGTAACACTATAGACACTCGTTTAGCATTAGCCATTCAGAGGCAAGTGTCACCATGCCTTCTCTACTTTGCACTTTTTTGTTTAATTGGGGGGAATGTGCTAACTCTTGCATTACTGTGTTGTCAGTGGTAGCATCCAGTCACATTGTAAGGTGAGTTCTATCCATGAAAGTGTGATGAAGTTCATCTCACCATTTTGTTGATTGTCCCTGCAGTTCTAGTTACTGTACCACAATGAGTTCCAAACTGTTAGCATGGCAACCAGCTGCTTGAATCCGCTTTTTGTTTACAAGATGGCAGTAGACATTTGACTATCCATTAAGCTCTGAAAAGTTGCCTGGGTGAGCTACTTGATTAGAATCCAAGGAAAAACATTGGTTGCAGGGTTGGTCTAGGAATAAAATTTTTAGCAGAATCTGAGCTATGGGTCACTTGGACTTTTTGGTAAGCTACTGTGAAAAGTACATTAGGAAGGTTTAGTGTTTGCAAATAAAACAAGTGGTTTGCTTCATTTCAAATGAAGGCAACTGAAATACCAGGAGATGAGATTTAACTTCCCATACCCCTGAAATTATAAATGGACATAAGAAAGATATGTACTCTTTTCTAAGAGTTCCCAAGAAACTTGGACCATTTCATGTATGTGCTACTCAAGGCATGTGCAGATGTTTGTAGAATCAGGGGGTAGACTGGTTCTGTATTAGAACAGAAAGCTTTTATATTCTGTATAGTTTAGACCTTTATGTCCATCCCAGAATAAAAAGGAATCCAAAATTAAGAACGTGGTAAATGCATAATTAGTTGTTCAGAAAGGTAAGACCTACTTACTTTAAAGTATAGGGGGAGAAAATTGACCATAAGATGATGATGAACTTTGGAATTTATTGCTATAAAAATTAACAAAACCCAAATAGTGGATGGGTGTTAATAGTTTTACCATGTGGTAATCCCATGTTCAGCACATCTGCCATCATTGCTGCTGACGTTACCAGCTTTGGCAAAGCTAATAATTACACACACAGATCTGCAACAAAGTTTAATGCTTTGTGCATTTTGCTCCTAAGTTTATTACAAGTGTGGGGAATATGCTGGACCACAACTCCCACCATCCATCACCATTGGCTGGTGGGAATTGCAGTCCAGCAACAGTTGGAGGGTCATATATTCCCTATGCCTGCCTTAATAGATGCTCCTTTTACTGTAGAATAAGCACAAAGTTATTTAGTTTTAAAATATTTAGGGTAGATCTATGGGGAGAAAAACATAGACAAGGAAGATAGAAGAAAAAAATTGTAAGCTACCACCCTACACATACTCTACCACCTTTCCTCCCATCTGGACATGCATATGGTGGGCATGTTGTGAGCTGAGCCGGCTGAAGCTGGGGGTCAGACTAGATGGCCCAGGAGGCCCGTTCTGACTCGCTCTGTTTCTTTGTTTCTATCAACCTAACTAAGAGTATCTTGCATGCATATTGCTTGCTTTTTTCAGAAGCTCTGTAAATCAGATAAATCAGGTGAATATCCAAGCATGGGTGCTATCTGTATACTCTTTTCCCCAAGCACATGAACAAGAAAATGAGATATGCATGGATGGAAAACTCTTGTGAGCGACTGTTGGGGCCACCCTACTCCAGTCAGGAAGCTGAGTCAGAGGGGCTTTGGCAGGTTTCCTGGTGGGGTGGGATTGGATTCTTACCACCTCATAGCCCCCTAAAATTTAGAGACCTTACAATGAAGAGAGAGTTTCCCTTGCAGTTAAAAGGATCCTTGTGAGGGTGGTCCAGTTGAACATGATTGCTCAGTTTCTCCACTGCTTGATTATGGGCCAAGCGGAAACGAATAAAATAACACACTTGCTTCCCTTGATGTAGCTCCTAGCTGCAGTGGTTGAGAGCAGTGCGCTTCTGTATGCCAATTTTTGCAGCCAGTATTTCAAAGCAACATAAAGTTAGCCAATGTGATAAATGGCTACTAGTCATGATGACTATATACTGTCTCTGGTATTAGAGGCAATATGTCTTGCTGCATCAACTGCTAAGGAACATGAAGGGAAAGATCTGTTATACATGTCCTTCTAGGCTTGTACTGCTTGGCCGCTGTGGAAGCTTACATTACATAGACCTTCTGATTCAGCATTGTTCCTCTTATGTTCATATGAGGGCAGTATGTTCAGCCTTCAGTTGCCACATATTTTTAGAGGGGAACTGGGAGCCTCTTGCATACCTCAGCCCATCCTCCACATACATGGAATACATTTCTTCCTTCTTCTTGGACCCATTTTGGTGTCCAGTATATCCACATATGGGATGCCCATTTTGAAATACCCTAAACACACTTATTTGAAATACCCTAAATATGACGAAGAGGAAAGCAATACTGTGGTGAGGAATTCTATGAAGATATGCTCTGGCTAAGTCCCTTCTTCCTTTCTTTATTATTAGTTTGAACAACAAGCTTTCTAGATTAGATTCTATACTAACCATTAAATGAAGAGAAGTGTTCTTGGAGTTGTGGTGCTCCTGGTTTCTAAAGACACACATTAAGAAAACAGACCTTGCAGCTCTTTCCTTAGTACACCTTGTACTTTCAAGGGTGGCATGCTGATAAAGTGAATAAAATGCATGAAATACAATTGATTCATTCACACTGGCCATCCAGTACACTATCAGCATTTTAGCAGACTGTGCCAGGCATAGGTAATTGAAGAAATTCTTGTCCATGCTTCCCCCACCATTCCCTCATTTTTATTTTAAATTGGAAGGAAAATTGAGCTTTTAGGTGACAGTTTTTACCCAGTAATTGCCTTCATTTTCCTTGGAGTGTCCTTCCTCCTGCCAGTGAGGTAGTTGATTTAAGGTACAGTGCTATGCAAGTTTAGACAGAAAAAAAGTCCTACAACTCCCAGCCTCCATCAGCTTGTATGAGTACCAGGTGCATGCTGTAAATTACAGGACCTTTTTTCCATCTGAACATGCACAGGACTCCACCCTTAATTGCTTAGCAGAGATAAATTCATTATCACGGACATCAGTTTTTCTGGGTTCAAAATGTGTAAGCTTGAATTTAAATGTAATTTAAACAATAAATCCATTGGAACACTGGGCAGAATCCTATTAGACACTGGGGTGGAAGCAAAGGCCTTGTATTTGGTGTTGCTAGTCATGCCTTTGTAGCACAATCATGTTTAATGATTGCTGCCTATTTGGATTCTTCTTTATTCTGGAAGTGCAGATATAGTGAATTGATTAGGGGAAGGCGATTGATTGAGGATAGGCACCTCTTGAAATTTTAATTACAAGGATGATTGCAACAGAGGCTTGTTTTCCATGGATATCACATTTCCCTTTCCTCTAGTGTAAAAGGGAAGTATATTGCTATAATGTTGCTATATGGATAAGGTTTACCTTGGGTCACCTGTGAATGCTAGTCTTGCAAAAAATATACATTCCTGTCTGTTTACATGGACTTGTGTTTAAAGAGGCTTGACTAGTGATCTGGAAAGCCCCTTTCCCTGAAGAAAATACTATCCTCAGATAAAAACCTAATAAGTTTGTTGTGTCCTGCAGTTTTCATTCACTGCTTGTGTTGCTTTTGTAACACTTAATGTTTTAGAAGCTGTGTGATTACCTGTGCAGTAAAGTCTTGATTGGCCCAAGCCACAAAGATTAAATGACCTGGATAGTGTCTCAGATGGCACAGAACTAGGTTAAAGGCCCTGAATTCCTTATAAAGCTCACTGTTGTGATGAGAATTCCTTACAAATAGGTGGAAATGGCTGCCTCACCACTCATTTACCCCCCCCCCCCGTTTCCTCCTAATAGAACACTATTCTAGCCTTAAGGATCTACAACAAGGGTGGGCTAATTATGGTGGTCCAATTGTTTCGGTTGGCAGCTTTAATGAACTCTATCCAGCATAGCCAAAGGTGAGGAATAATGGGAATGTATGTCAATACATCTATCCTTGGCCTAAAGCCACTGTTTAGCAACAATTATTTTTCCTAGTTGGAAAAAGCACTGCAAGAATGGCCTAGTTACTACTAAATGTTTCTAAAGATCAGAGCAGACAGAGAGGATAGGATTGTAGTGCAGTGCAGAATACTGAGAAAGGAGCCAAGGATGTGTGCTTTTTTTTCCTCCTCTGCCTATATGATAAATCAGTCTTGTGTTTAAGTGCTAGACATCCGTGACTAGAAATTGCAGGAAGGTGACTGAGCAGGCACTAGAATGGGAACGGAGCACTCTTTCTTCCTGTACCCAGCATGGAAAAGAAGCAGGCTGCCGAGAGGGGTAGGCTGCTATCTCTGTTACACCCATGCAGCTATCTGTGCACTGCTTCCAACACCCAACAAGCTAAGAATGTTTGTTCCTGATTGGAAACTTCTTACAGCTCACTTGCAAGGCTGGGATAAATGCTGTGGTTATTTTATGCTTTTATGGAAGGAGATGGACAATCACTAGAATCTCCCTCCCTTCTTATCTCATTCGGTAGCATATAACCTAGATAAACTTGGCCTTGTGTAGGGAGAAAAGAACAATAATCTCCCTCTAGTCTGGTTTGTGATTGCCCTGCAATCCTCAATTTAACGAACAGTTTATTATGAAGTACAGTGAAAGATGAGAAGGAAAACAAAGTGGGCTTTGAAGCAACAAAATATAAAACTTAGCATCCTACAGTAAACTCAGTATAATCACATAATATGTAGGATTCTCAGACACAATTTATGGTTTACCTAGAAAGGCAGCATATGTTCCATGTATTCCGTCTACAGAAGTTGTATTTCCTCATTTATTCAAGCTGGTCAAGGGGAGAGCAGAATGCCTGCCCAATGAACTCTTCAATAAAATGGAAAGCACCTAAGCAAAGATAGTAATTCTTACCTGTTAGATAAAACTGGAATGATGCTACTTAAAGAAGAATGCCCCTGACCTGCTCTAACAGATGAAATGTGTCTCAGAAATTTGAAATACAAGCATTGTTTAAGATACTCAACAAGAAGCAACTGCCCTGATGAGAGAATACTTGCAACTAAGAGAAAGTAGAGGCTAAGAAATAACTTAGGTCACTAATGCTTGTCAATTTGTCATCATGTGATGTTGCCTTATACTAACTGAATCAGGACATTGCTCTGTGAAGCCTAGGCTTGAACTAGAGATTCCAGTGAAGGAATCTTCTGCATGCAGAGCAGAAGGACTATAGAAGCAATGGATTATAGAAGCAAAGGGTAGCAGATACCTTAAGCTCTCCATGTCTAAATTTGTGTTTCAAGAACTGCTCTCTGTGATTGTGCATTAATCCACAGTCCCGAAGTTAACCTTTGATGTTCTGCTCTTTTTTTTAGGAGTAAAAGCTGGGACTTGTACCATCTTAGATGTTGTAGAAAATTTAGGGTAAGTGGAATGCAATACAATGTTCTGCTCTAGGGAATATATCTCCTGGTCTCTAGAATATCAGCTTTTACTGCTATAGCAACATTAAAGTTCTGTTGTTCAGTGCTTGATACCTGCTTGCTGTTTGCCCAGGTTTGGATCTAAATTTTCATTCATGCCCATTCATTTACATCAAGGGTCCTGAATTATTAGGACAAGCTTCCTGTGACTTTGGAATGGTCCTGTGGTAGTGCTTAACATGTTGCTATTCTGATGTTGGGATTAATTTCAATTATATTTTATTATTCTGGGGTTTCTACTGTGTTTTCTTTTTGGGAGAGGAGAGGCTTGATGGTAGTTTGTAGGTATTCACAGGATACCTTTGATGCAAGTATAGCATAATGGCTAGATGTAAGTTGCTAACAAGGAAGTTCCTCTTTGGAATATCTCCTCAGTCGCAAACATACTAGATAATTTTAGACAACCAACCATTCTCTCATCCTCCCTCTATTTGTTATATTGGTAGGATGAGAGTCTACCTGAAACTGCCAAATTGCAACTGCAAAATAATTAAAAAGAGCTTTCTTTTGGTGAAGGTTATTGTGAAAGGTATGGCTTTTCTCATTTGGGCTAGGGCAACTTCTCAAGAGTGGCGTTAGATATCAGAAGGAGCTCAGGCTTAGGTCCAGAGGGCTAAAGATGGCACAAATTTGTGCATGTTAAGTTACGTATGCAAATATGGCTACAATTAGAACTACATTGTGCTTAGTAGATGATGGTCACAACTGTGTAGTTTCACAAACTCTGCTTGCTTAAAGCATCGTCCTTATGCGCTCATACATCTTCTAGGACTTTGAAGCCCAAATCGATATGGGGAGGATGGGGTGCTGGAACCAGTAAGAAGCCATATGGCACCTTAAACATCTACTAAATCACTGAAAACTGAACATTACATACTGTTGAGAAAGCATGGGAATGTGTTATAGGCTGTAAACCCCCTGCTGTTTAGCTGCAAACTTAACATTATTAGAGAGTAACCCCTACTAAACAAAGTAGGATTTACTTCTGAGTAAATCCTCTTTCTTCCCCCACCACCCCCAAACAAGCATAACAATACTGGACCGAGAACTCAGAGCAAGTGTGCAGCTACTCATTTTATTTCAAATACTTTATTTTGATAGTTCTGGGCATATTGAACACATTTTTTTTTACAGTACTTGACTTCTAAATTCTAGAAATCCTCTCTGGATCCCGATATTACGTCTATCTTCAGGATGCATAAGGCTGTGAGCACATGTACTGAGGAGTAAGGCTAATCCTATCTGGAAATAAATCCCATTGAATATAGTATAACTTCAGAGTAAACATGTTCAAGATTATATGTTTGATGTAATCCTGAACGTGTTTTCCTATTCACAGATCTCTCTATAGCCCCGGTACATCATTTCCTATACCATCTCAGCTACTTTTCCCCGTCCACACATGGGTAAAAAGCTAGCTAATTTAGGGGATCAAATGCAGCAGAGATCATCAGGGATCCTACATCTTTCCTTCAGCAAGTGCTATTTTTCTCTTATTGTATCAAAGGTGACATTTTTTGAAATAACTTTCACTAGTCTCCTATGCAAAAAAAAAAAAAAAAAGTGTACTATGCCACAGTGCATTTGTGAGTCTTTAAGATGCCACAAGGCACTGTGGCCTTTGAACACAAAAGAGTAAGAAGACCTGTTCTCTTCCCCCATCTATTTAGTTTTCTCTAGCCTAGTTCAAACCCATGTTGTAAGCAGGACCATGCACCACCAGAATTTGGCCACACGGATCATGCAGAAAGCAGGCACACTCCGGAAAGATGATTGCAGAGTCAAGGAGCTCCATCAAACTAGAGCAGGCTGTTTACTCATATATTAACTCGTTATAAAGGCCTGTGGCACTGCATTTGGTATGTGAGCAGCTAATGTACCTGGTTTTCTTCTTGTCAGGATCTCATTGCTTACAGAACAGTAATTGGTTGGACAGGTCCCTGCAGAGTGAAGCATACGCTGAGAATGTTAGGTCACAGTGGTGCAGCTAAGCAATTCTGAACTCTGGAATTAATTAAAATAATGATCAGACCATGGAAGGAAAGGTGGTAGTCTCCCTTCTGGTTGCATGCTACATTCCCTGTTAGTCTGTTAAAGGAGTAATCCTAACATCTCCTTGTAACTGTGAAGATGCTAAGTTCAGTGGGGAGAAGCAAGCTTTTATTAAGGCAGATGGTGGCAGCTGGGGCAGCTCTAAAGATTTGGGGCACTGGTCAAAAGATCCAGGCCCATATTTAGGTGGCTGTTCTGTAGCTCTACGTATGGGAGTTCTCATCTGTGTGCCAGCCTTTTTCCCACTGTTGCTATTGTGCTAGCCAAAGTTGCACTGGGTAAATTGTGTTCTCAGAGAAAGTAGAGCCTCTGGGGAAAATTTGTGAAGTGCAGTCCACCAACAAGACTGTGAATACTATTTGTACTTTCAGCAGATCACCAAGTATTGCAGAAAGTAAAGATGGAAGTAAATTTCTGGGAGGGTTCCTGTCAGGATGGGTGGACCGGCTCGACACAGCTTCCTTCTCATTCCAGTTTTATTGTGTGTGTGCGCTTGTGCGCGCACAGGTGCCCTGCTTTTCTTCCAGTGAACACAAGTCTACATGCATACTTTTCCACCATTTCATGCTCACAACAACTCTTTGAGGTAGGTTGGGCTGAGAGAGTGTGAGCTTTGGGATTTTGAGTTAGTTTTTGTCTGTGGTACAGTGAGCTGCATGGCTGACGTTGCAAAAGCTGAGCAATTTTTAGTGCTTGTGAGATTGGAAATAGTTTCTTGACATGTTTTAGCCGAGCCATAATTTTGAAAAGAGTAATTATTTCTGCATTGCTTAATGAGAAACATGCCTCTATGTAGCAATGTATGCTTTCTGTCTATCTTTATAAAATTATTTGCAGGTTTCCTTCCAACTTTTTGTCATTTATTTGGAAGTGATTACAATTACAAAACTAGAATATACATCTGATTAAATAAGTGTTGGACCATACAGTCAAAAATGCTAAATACAGTAAGTGGGGGAAGTTAGGAAGATGGACTGTGTGGGGAAATAATATAATGGTTTCTGGGATGTTAAATTGGTATAAGAGCACAGCTGGATCAGGCCAAGAGTCTGTCTAGTCCTAGTTCTGTTCACACAGTAGACATTCAGCTCCCCTATGAAAAAGCAAGTCAGAAGGGGTCTCCTGGACCATCTAGTCTGACCTCCGATTCCAGCTGGCTCTACTCATGTAATCCCCAGATTGCAGGCAACAGCAACTTCCCACCCAGCTATAAGGACTGTGCATGGTATTCTGCATGCTGTCACATTATAGATTTGTACAGTCTTAGCAGCTTTGTATTCATTTCCTTTCCTAATTGTGCCTGACAATTGAGACTACGTTTTTCACAGCAGCTGTATGCTAAGTTGACATTTTTTGTTTCAATGTGCACTATTTTATAAGGGTAAACAAAATATAATTTATCAGGCTTAGGTGGCAGGAAGGAGGAATGAATTGCTCAAACTGGGGTGAATTCATAAGATTGGACTTCACTGACTATGGCTACCAAATTCATACAGATTTTGTAAGGGAGCGAAATGACCAATAATTTAAAGAAGACCTTGGGAAACTGAGGCACTCTTAACACCTTCTCTAAGAACTGTCTTTGCATGGGCGAAGAAAACATACATAATGATGAGGGAACAGTGTACTTACGGATATTTAACAGTAATTTATCTTGGGCAATTTTGGGAGCAAAGTGTCAGTGTATGTATGTATTTATTTAGAAGGCTTCTATGTCACCCCATTTGCCAAAGCCTCGGTTAGCATGCAGCAAGAAGCCATAGTGGGCACATTCTCTGTGGGACCTTCTGTTGTGGTGGCAGATGCTGCCATTTTGCACGTTTGAGTTGCAGTGGGAGTGCACCAAAGCCTGCTGTTACATGTGAACCCAGTGAGGTTTTATTGTTGGGGTGGTTGACGAGCACCCTACTCGTAAATCAGCCTGTAGCTTCACCCTTACAACCCACCTTCTTCACACATAAAAGTAAGCCATGGCATGTCTCCATCATGACTGAAAAATTCAAAATGGCAATAGTTGCCACAGTGAGAAACTCCACAGGGAAATTCAGCCATGGTAGCTTTGAATTACATGTAAACTGGGCCTTAGTGGTGTACATTTCATCTTTTTTAACCTACTGGACAAAGTCAGAAGAAAGTTATTTGGCTCATTGTTCAAGGTAAATCAAGTTATTTTCTGTTCCCACCCAACCCAAAACTTGAATAATACCGTGTTTTTCACCCTTATGGCCCTTGAACTCTTGCTCTGTTTTTGTTTCCAATACAGATTCCCTCTTGAGAATGCAGACCCTCAGATGCGTACCCGAGGCATCCAGATGCTCTCTGAAGTCCTCCTACAGTGCTACTCTCTACTCCAGGAGCAGGAAGGTAGGCCATATGCCATATTGCTTGGCTGGGTCTTCACTCTGTGATTGGTAGCTGGATGGTCAACAGATAAGATTCAATGTCTTAGAGCTCTTTGACATGCTACAAGCATGCTGGATGAGTAACTGCAGTGTGGTTAGGTTCATTGAAAGTCCCAGCTTGCCCTTAGGAAGTACTTAAACTGAAAATTAAATCTACCAGAAGCCTTCATTGGCTTTGTGGCCATTTTGAGCTGCCTGAAGGTATCCAGGTTCAGTGTGCTTCTATTTACTCTGAGGTGCATTGCTATAAACTGTAATTCTTATTTGGAAGAGGATGGAGGAGCATCTAGGATACTAGCTGGAAAGAAATGTCCTGTTTATGTGATAAGGCAGCAACTAAGGAACAAGGAGGCTTTGCAATTAAAATTTGTATTTTTTGCAGAACAGTGGATCTTAGGCTTTGTGAAGGCTTGACTGAATGGGTTGATACTGCTGGGTAGAGGACATCAGCCTGACTTTCCCCTAACTGCATATAAATTGGCTTCAGTCCTGAAGACTTGGATCCATGCTGTTCTCAGGCAGTGATTCTCACTGAGTGCTTCCCAAGAGCTCCTTTCCTTGCTGCTGTATGGAGGCAACACAGTGTTTATGTCCTACTTTTGAAAACCTAAGCTCAGAATTGTAATTCTTTACTGTGTACAGAATGTGTTCTGAGTAGGGTTGGGATGAACCCTTTTGAAATCAGTCCCTCTAGCATCTGTGGACTTGCTGTTGTGCTTGGCTCAGTCCTGCAAAGTGAGCTGAGCCAAAAGGAAGTCCACAACAGCTTGTGCACCCTTGGATGTGCAACCAGAAACCTTCCCTATCAGATGCAGCCACCCAAAGAGTGATTGCAGGATGCAGAAGGGATGAACTGCAAGCAATTGTGCAAGGTACCATTCTCTACAACCTACCTTCTTCTGTGCCTAGTACAGCTGGTAATAGCAGCACTAGGCACTGAAGAAGGGTGTTGAGAGCAGGGTTGCCAGGTATTATTCCCAGCAACCAAACTTCTCCCCCACCAGCTAGTCCTGGTAGTGCCAGGTGCAGAAGAGGGACGCTACTTGAGTAGTGCTTGGGGCTTGATTCCTGGTGAGCACTCTGTAAATGCTGGATGTGTTTTCCAGGAATTTGGACTCAGCCACTGTAAAGTGGACTGGAGCCGAGAGAATCTGATGCATTCCCACCTCTAAACATTCTTTACACATCCCTAGTTGCAAGAAGAGTGATCTTAAGTGTTCAGTTACTTGCAGTTTATTTTGTGGGATTTGTCCTTCCTGTTTTTGTGATCAAAGGTATAGGCATTATAGCCATTCATCTCTTGCCAGACAACTTCTTGATATATAATTCCAAGGAGGCGAGGGCGGGTGAGAAGGTCAGTGTGTCCGAACAACCTGTAATGATTCCATATTATCCACCCTCCCTTCAGATGTGATAGTGCTGAATAAGATGCCAATATGGATCATACATCTCTATATGCGGTAGAAAGAGTCATTGACTACTATTGTAATGTTTCTCTGTTCCAGTGACCCACCTAGTTTTGTTCTATGAGAACCGTCTGAAAGATCATCACATTGTCATTCCTGCTGTGTTGCAAGGACTCAAAGCTCTGGTGAGAATTAGTTCCCATTGCCACCACTAGTAATAAAGGAATCCATGGCAGAACTGGGACATCACAGTAATTTATCTCTCAGTGGTAGGGAACAGTGGTGCCATAAGGAGAGGGAGTTGGTAGCTTTGGTTCATTTAACAGAGACTAGAAAAAGGTGTTGCAAGAGGGGAAAAATTTAATGTAGTGGGTGCTGGAGCAAAAAGGAACTTTTGGGGTGTATAAGGGGATCAGGCTTCCTAGTGAATAGTTGTTTTCATCTTCTTAAGTCACATGCTGAGTAAATGACTTGTTTTGTCTCTTTCTTTGACAGTAGGTGGTGAGTTTATTCTTACAGTTTACAAAGGCTGTTTAATGATACATTGTTGTCTCTGCCTTTTGCATGCAGAGTAACCTGAGGCCCTAAGCATATTGTTAGGAGCTGCAATCCCTTCCTTTATTAATCCCTTCCTTAACTTAAGGTAGACAGTGAATTGTATGATCTGTCTTGTCTCCAGAGTATGTGTGCAACGTTGGCTCCAGGCCTGGCAGTATCTGTTCTTAAAGCCATCTTCCAGGAGGTTCACGTCCAGGTGAGTATGGCATGCTCTGAAAGACTCATTTGGCCTTTACTGCTTCCTAGTCACAGTGCTGTTAGTAGCATTCTGGGCTTGCTCATCCATATTCTCTTGGTGTCAACAGAATCAAGGATTGGGCCTTATGGAGATTCTGTGTATTACCTCTCCTGTCTTCTGAAATTGTGGAACTATTAGAAAATCTGCTGGTGCTTCAAAGTTCTTTAAAGTTTTATTCCTTCTGTTTTGCATCCCCTAATGGCATCAGTGCTGAACAGTGGTCTCACATGAGCTGTTACGATGGCCTGGTTTGCACATAACAGGAATTTCTCCATGGGGCTTTTTGTTGCACTGATTACCATTTTGAATATAGGGTAAGGTGGGAGTGTACTACAGCTCCATGTTATATCTGAACCCAGCAAAGATGAGGAGTTAATGTTGTTAACAAGCCACCTATAACTCCAAAACGAACCATAGGTTCTGGGTGGCTTGTCAACCAGTGCGGCAACCCACCATCACCAGGCTCACAGGTAACAAGAAGCTGCGGTGGTGGGACTTGAGCTGGTAACCTGGGGCCCAGAGGCACAATAGCTGTTTTGATCATGTGAGCCAAGTCAACATCTCAAGCATATGTAAAGCAACATGGTCTGGTGAATAGTGTGTTAGAACTGAATGTCTGTTCAAATCCATCTCCATCATGAACTTGCTGAGTTGCCTTTGGCAAATTGCTATTTTCCATTCCATTCCCTTCCCCAAAACCAGAATAGTGTCTCTGTCAGGGCAGTTGTAATGCTGTACAAGAGAAGGCTTTGCTAACTTCCTTTGAGCTTTGGGGTTAAATCTAAAAAGTTAGGATCGTATACGTGTAGCCTGTGCAAGGGGTGTGCAGGTGTGTTCTGATGTAAAATATATACATATCAGAACTAGAGGTATCTTGGGTTTTGTATGGGACAGTAAAGGAATTGGAGCCACTCTCAGTAAGACTATAAAATTGTAGAGAGGATGTTACGGAAAGATGAATAGTCCTGGTTTTCTGCAGTTTTATAGTGTGTGTGTGTGTAAATGCTCTTGCCTCTATCTCAGTTATCTTTCTGATGATTAGGCACCAGAAATATTTCTGCTGATTTGGCAATAGACAAAATGCAAACAAAATTGTGATAGAAAAGAAGTAACCCACTTTAATTGGAGAGGACACTAACAAAAATGTATTTCTCTAAAGCTTGAACATGTGCATTTATTTTTTCACCTATGTTTTTCCTACTTTCTAGTCTTTGCTGCAACTGGATCGCCATTCAGTCTACAGTATCATCACTAACTTTATGAGCAGCCGAGAGGCAGGTGAGATGGACATCTGTACAAGGGGCTGAATATGACATTTTGTTGGGAAAACAAAGAAATGGCCTCATCTGCTGCTTTCTCCCACAGAGCTGAAAGGTTTGGGTGCTGATTTCACCTTTGGCTTCATCCAGGCAATGGATGGGGAGAAGGACCCTCGCAACCTACTACTAGCCTTCCAGATTGTACGAGACATCATTGAAAAGGGCTATGCACTAGGTAATTCCAAGCCTTTGTCAGACTGATTGAGAAAGAGAATGCCCATGTTACCAGTGGTGGTTGAATTGGACTTCTTCCAGTGGCTACTGTGTGTGAGGATGCAGGGTGAAGGGAGTGAAAACTAAGTGTGGAAAGCCTGTTGAAGCTTGTTTTGCTTGGGAAACATTGAACCAGAACTGCAGCATATCTGGTGTTAAGCTCTCAGATGAATTTCCCTCCTGGTTCATGACTTGCCTCGATGGTAACACCAAATGGGCTACAAATTAATAAGCCTGGTTATAGAGCACCTGAGCTGCTGCCCTCATGCTTTGACTTAGCCTGTATTTGTGTCTGACCTTCTGTCCACTGTTGTCCTCATCCTTTCAGGGCCATTTGCAGAAGAGCTGTTTGAGGTGACTTCTTGCTACTTCCCCATTGACTTTACACCTGTGAGTGAGTTATTCTGTTTTTTTTTTTTAAAGTCTGGCCAATTCCCATGCTGAGAAGTGGCTGTTGAAACAGGACAGTGCATGTAATGCCTGGGATTAATGAGTTTGTTCAGCACAGCCCATTGATCTAAAACAGGGAGTTTTTCCTGAGTTAAGATTTCATTCCATGATTCTGTTCCAGCCCCCCAATGATCCTCATGGAATCCAGAGAGGAGACTTAATTATCAGCCTGCGGGCAGTGCTGACTTCCACCCCTGTTTTTGCTGAGGTAAGACCACTGAAGTGGCTAAGGTCTGTTTTTCATGTCACTCCCATGGCCCTTTTGGGATTTTGTTCTTGCCTGTGATCTGAGCTGAGCAATTTTTGACCAAGGGATGACAGTTTGGTGAATGCTGAGGATCACATGCAGCTATTTATAATAGTTTTTGATATTTTCATGGCTCTGGTAGAAGTCACTGTACCTGAACAGAGTACATTTAATTCCAGTAATGCAGAGATAATTGCCCTTGGTTTCCAAACCTGAGCCACCTCTCAGTAGTAGTGCTTTGGTATTAGTTTTGGGGATGGTGGTGACTTTCTTACTTGACTCATTTCTGGTTTTCTATCACCAGTGCTTTTTCATACTGTTACTAACAGACCTTAGATGTCTCTGGGCACAGGGTGCCATTAATGAGTGTTACAAACAAATACTTTAAAAATGCTGAAATCGCTAGAATTTTGAAAAGCCTCATATATTGCAGATTGCAGCTTTGGTGGCTGGCATTATGCCTTTTCTTGAGCTAGAGTGAAGTCAAACCCTTTCTATAAACTTTCTATGTAGAAAGTCTATAGCACAGCAGGCATCATATTGTTTGTGATGCCTGCTGTTTGGGGGATCTGGTCTTCTGGGCCATGTTCTATCTGCAAAGCATGCTGAGCTTTCTAAGCACCTCTTTTCCTTCTTTTGCACAGTTCCTGCTCCCATTGCTCATTGAGAAAATGGACTCTGATGTACAAAGTGCCAAGCTGGACTCCTTGCAAACCCTGGTAAGTATATTGAGCATAGATGGTAAAAGTACAGAAGAATGCCTGGCCATTTTCCCCAGGGCAAGACTGAGGGTAGGGAGTCCCCACCACCACCTCCTGCCACTGGGATTTGCTTATCTTTTGTTCTGATCCAAGTGGGTAGGGTGCTCATGGCACGGCAGTGCAACTTCTTGACTGGCAATTTACATGCTCACCTGATGATGTCTGTGTGGCTTTTCTTATAGACTGCGGCCTGCAAGATCTATGGACAGAAAGAGCTGAAGGAATTCCTGCCCAGTCTCTGGTCATCCCTACGCAGGGAGGTGAGAGATATGAATTTTCACAAATGGGAATAGTCTTGATTTCCCAGGAAAGTGAATCCCAACATTCTTCCTACTTTGTCTGGGGACCTACCTAAGAACTGCTTCAAACATTATATAGTTCCTGCAATGAATTGTTGAGGTGGTATAATGCTTGAAGAAACTGTTAAGAGATAAGTGGCAGGGGGACTTTTCATTCTCAAAGGACCTTCTGAGTTCTGGAGTGGCTATTTCTTCTTGAGTAAGGCAAGCTTGCTTGCATTATACCACTGATTCTCCCCCTCTGCTCCCTGCAGGTGTTCCAGACAGCAAGTGAAAAGATTGAAGCAGAAGGTCTGGCTGCTTTGCATGCTTTGTCAACATGTCTGTCCCGCTTGGTGCTCAGTTCTGATGATGAGGATCTTTTGGATTCCTTTCTTAGAGATGTTCTGCAAGGTAATCTCGGGAGCAGCATGTCTTTTCAAGAAGTGTTCCAGTCTAGTCAAAGGTATTCTGTCCCTCTTTATAAAATGAAATTTGGAGAAAGTAAGTACTTCCTAGAGGGAAGATTCTGTCATACTAATGCAGCCATAATTTGGCTTCTAGCACTGAGGGAAATGTTGGGAGCATCTTGGGACTGATCGGGAGGAAAGAACTCAGAAGAGGTGGTGCCATTGGTGCCATTTGCTGTCCGTTCCTGGTAGAATATTGTGGTGTTGCATCTTGATGGAGCTTTTAACAGGTGGTTGCTCCTTCTCCCAAGCAGTCTTGTCTGTTTTAGATTGCAGACACCATCTCTGTGAGCCTGACATGAAGCTGGTGTGGCCAAGTGCCAAGCTCTTACAAGCAGCTGCAGGTGCCTCTTTGCGAGCCTATTATCAGATCACAAGCAGTGTACTTCCCTTGCTGGTGGAACAGTACACCAAACATGTGCAGGTGAGAACAAATGGGTGTGAAACCCACCTGTACAGAAGAGTTGTGACAATGGAATTGTCCAAACCTTGTTTCATGTTAGAGGCTGTTTAGTGGTAGATTCGCCTACCACTGCCCCAGGTGTATGCTTGTACAGCAGTAGTCTTCAGATCTTGTCTCTTCCTCAGTCTTGGAATATGTTTTGACCCCTCCAATGCATTCTGTGTCCTTTTGATCTCTTGTAGAGTAGCCAGCACAGGACAATCTTGGAGGTGCTACTTGGTTTCTTGGAGCTGCGGCAGAAGTGGGGTTCTGAGGAAGAAGGTATGATGATTCTCCATAACTCTTCTGAAAGTACAGTACTGCTACCTTGTCCAGAATTGTGTTTTCGCAGAGATGAATGGTTTTTATTCATGGCAATTGAACAGTGACTTATCAGGGCAGTGGATAGGGTAGGCTTCAGCAATAAGGGGAGGGGGGCAGTAGAATCTAAAAGGAAAAATAGGTTGACAGGCTATTTTCTCTGAAAGGATTTCTAGCCTCTCTGGTTGCTGAGAGAAGTCTTGGAACATGTGCAAAGGTCATATGAAAGTGCTGACACCAGAAGCCAGGTAGAAAAGGATTAAAGAGCCTTTTTCAGCCACGGGGCAGCATTCCCACATGGGTAACCTTTCAGAGGTGTAGAGCAGCAGTGGGCATCTATCCATCTATTCACCAAGGCATTATCCATCCCCCACCAACCACCCGCACACTCAATTTATGCCCTCATTAAACCTAGCTTCTGTCTTCCATCCCCCACTGTCAGCAGCTCAGTTAAGCATAGAAGAGAGGCCTAGTTCAAACAAATGGGATCTTTTTTCTCAGCCTGATTGTCCTGGAGGGTGGAGAGGGGCAAGACAGGTTGCTTGAAGGCTGGATCCAGGGCTCTTTAGGCCAGAGATTCCTGCCCTAGAGTAGATGCAACTTGTTCAGGATTTTAGATAACCATATAACTCTAGTTGATTAACCTTGGTCTCCTTGTCCATATAAGTAATCCAGCTGTTGCTATAGAACATGTGTATCTTTAGGTGGTTTTCACTTCCCTATTTAAATTCTCTCAAGTTTTTCAGATCCTTGGATAGACACTGAAGGTCATCATTACTTTGGCGGCCCTGCCAAGAACCTTGGAGCTTTTAGCTGAGGCATTGTGTATATTTCTCACTCTCTCCTTTTCAGATAAGACTCCACTGCTTTGCTTTAAAGATTCTCTGTGTTCCATGGTGTTCTCCGCACTTAATGAACCCAATGTGCAGCTTCAGTTAGTTGGGATCCGAGCTCTGACCTTCTTAGGATCACTGCAAGGTTCGTATTCTATTGTGGGCAAAGTGGCATATCAAGGAATATGGGAAGGATTATGAACTTCCTAGATATATTTTTCTCAAGATGTACCATGAAATACTAGTGTATACAGAAGCTTCTGGTATGCAAACTGGCACGTTCCATTGTGTGTCCAGCCAAACAGCTGAACTTTAAACAAATTACCCTGCCTTCTAAATGCTCGAGCTGTATAGGCTCTGTACAGCCTCAAAAAGTGGGGTGCAGTGTAGCAAAACAGCAGCGTTGTGCTCCATGAGAAAGTAAAGACTCGATGTCTTCCTTGTTTCAGGGCTCCTGGTCCCCCCAGATGTAGAAAAACTTGTGGATCACCTTGCACAGTTCATCCTGCATGAGGAGGATTCCCAGACCAGGTGAAAGAGTGGGGTCTGGGTAGGAGAAATGGCAGATAGGGTTGAGTTTTCCAACAATGTCATAGGGCTGGCCACTTTTATTATATCGAACGTTTGCATTCTGTTTCTTATCTATAAAAGCAATCAAAAAAGGGTTCCACCACTAATACCTATTCTTATTCTTCATTGGATTAAAATCCGAAATCAAAACTGCTTGCTTCTGTTTTGGAATTTTCTTATTCTGATCTGTTAGATTGTAACAGAAGAGGAGCTGTCTAATATTACCTTTGTGATTTCTGCTTTCAAACTGCCTAGGTTTTGTACTCTTGCTAAAATAACTTTTGGTTTAGCATAAGTGGTACTAAAGTACACATGAAGTTCATATATTCATTCTCCTAAGAGAGATTGAGTTGAATTTTAGTTAAACATTTTTCCATAAAACCACCGACTGCATTCATTCTGACTCATAGCTGACGTCTACTTTTTAAAAACATTCTTGAAATCCTTTATGATGATTGGTAGAACTAATACTGGCTATTACTGTTCAGTTTGTAAAGTTTTCAACTGTTCATTCCATGGTCTAAAGCTTTTTTTCAGTATGTCAAACATTCCGACCTACCAGTCACAGGACAGTTCCTGAACAGACACTGGTCATTCCTTTTCATACTCTCTTGATGCCAAAGAAGTTGGGAAGCCCCACAGGTTCTAAAATGAACTCAGCCAGAGTGAACTTAGCAAAGGCAGACAGTCTGTGTCACTATTTTCCTTGTCCAAAGAATGCTTGCAATAAAGCTTATCATATTATAAAATCTAGCCTGCACAAAATGTAATAATAGTTCAAAAACCAGATCATAATTGAAGGATTTATGAGTTCAGATTATGGCAGCTGCTGGCCAGAACAATAATTTATTTTCTCCCTTTCCTTTATTGTTATAGCTTAGCAGCTATGGAGGCTGCTGGCACCCTGGCTCCTCTCTATCCAGAAGTCTTCAGCAGGTGCTTGGTTCAGAAGCTTTCAGAAGGGCTGCATCCAGGTACACCATTCAGGTGAACAGGGTGGGTTGCAGGGAGATGCCATGTTATCTTACACAGCATTTGTGCAGATGTGCTCAGTGTGTACCCCTGAGTTGGTTACAGGGAGACATAGCTATTGCAGGTAGCTTTGACAGGCATCTGCAGGGTTTCTGGCTGTGGCTTGAACAAAGAGAGTAAAGTCAAATGGATGACTTCGTTGGTTCTTAGACTAGAGCACCCATGTTCTGAGGAGAGATAATAGTACCTTATGGGTCTTTCCTTCTAGACACACTCCTGGCATAGTTGTAATGTTCCATGTACAATCTGCTCTCTGTTTCAGAACGTCAAGAGGTCAGCAGTCCTTCAAAGCAGGAATGTTGCCTGCAGGCCCTCGCAGCAGTGTCCACCCACCCTAGTATAGCGAGAGAGACTGTTCCCATCCTCTTGCAGCATCTCCAACAGGTTCAGAATGGTAATATAAAAATCGCATGTGACAAACTATTGAAATTTGGTGGGACCCATTGTGTGAATGGGAGTGGAATGCAGAAGATGAAAGGGCTTGGTAGAGAGTTGTGTGGGTAGGCCCTATCTTGAAGCAGAGACTTCAGAATCTGTAAATTTGGGGCCCTCCCAACACCATAATTCTGTTATTAAAAATAACCGGAGAAGCAGCTTCTTGGGATATTTGAGATTATCCAACTTTGCCTTGTAGTTTTGTTAAAATTTTAATAAAAATCCCAGTCTCTGCTACAGCCTATGCTTGCCATAGTGTGATGCCTTCAATAGCCATGGCCTTGTTCTTGGTTTAATAAGGTGTCATATGAATTATTCCTCCCTTAACTGGAGCTGGCGAATCAGGAAGCATTCTATTACCTAAAGTTCCCTGTTTTGTCTGAACTGGGAAACTATTGTTCATAACTTCAGAACAAACCAAAATATAAAACTAACCTTTGACTATGGTGTAATATCCTGATTTGTTCCTAAACATTTAACCCTAATTTCCTAGTTAAGATGAAATGGGAAATATAGCTAATAGAAAACTTTCTGGGTCAATTGCTCACTTATGCAAAGGGGGAAGCAAAGTGATTGCTTGTACGGTCGAAAGACTCGTTCACAGTTTGACTTATTATTCTGAGAGACAATAATCCAAACAGAGCCAGTGTTGTACTAATATTTCAAATAGCTGGGAATTGCCAATTTCTGTTCAGAATACTACTTTCATACTGTAGATTGCTGAATTTTAAAATATTCTTGTTTTTGCAGGAAGCATACCAGCGGATATCCATTCTGTGGTGTCTGTGTGCCAGAGCCTGCAGCAGGTGGCATTGCATTGCCAGCAAGATGCTCAGAGCTACTGGTATTTTCACCAGACGGTGGTGCCCTGCTTGATGGGCTTAGCAGTAGAGGCTGCTATGCAAGGTAAGGCCCGGAGGTGGGCACAGTTTTCATATTCTACGCATTAGGCCAGTTGCTGGGCAACTTGAGTGTGTGCTGAATTTCTGTACTCTAAGCCTTTGAGCCAAAGGGAATGTGTATGGCAGTGCCCAGATCTATCCTTGACTGGTCCTTATCCCCCATACCTTCCTTCTACTTTGCATCTGCAGTACGCAGAGCCACTTCCAGTGATTCTTTAAGATAAAAATGACAACAACCCCCCCCCCCCTTTGCTCCCACTTTTCCCCCTTGTCTGTTACTACTTTCAGAGAATTCCAACACAGTGGTAAGCAAATTGCTGCTGAAGGAGGAAGCCCTATCAGCCATGGTACTGGTCATCAGCGCTGCCTGTACGCACTTAAGCCCAGAGTGAGTAACTGCTGCAGTGAAGGGATCTTCCTGTGAACTCTGTCCATTCAATGTATGCTAGTTCTGGTCCTAATCACTCTGCTTGTGGGTAAATTCAGGGCCCAGCCTGACCTTGCATCCTTTGTTAGGACAGGTGCTGGTGGTCTCTCTTTCCCACATTCCTTGATGATTTCTACTATGTGACAAGAATGTGTCCCTGTCACTTCTTTCTCATTTCTTCATGGCAGGCTGGCTGCCCAGAGTGTCTCCAAAGTGGTATCCCTCTTCCTAGATGGAGAGCTCTCCTTCTTACCTGGAAGCAACTTTGCTAGCACTTTCCAGCCCTTCCAGGTAACTCAGATAAGACTGGCAGTTTGTTCTGGGGAAGCATGACCATAACCATCGGAGTGACTTTGGTTTGAAAACAATGTTGTCTCTCCTCCGCAGGATGGGCAATGTCCCATGACAGTTCACAGAAGACTCGTTGCTCTCCTTATGGCTTTTGTCTGTTCACTGCCAAGAAAAGTGAGTCCTGGGGGAGGGTGCAGCATGACTGAGCACACGGATGTCACCTCATGCCAAACCAAGTAGTACTGGGAGCCAGTGGATTGCTTGAAAATTTAGCTATCTCCATGCCTTCCTAACCTCTGCTTTCCTTGCAGATTTCAATTCCTCAGCAGGACCGATTGCTATGTGAGCTGCTAGCCCTGAGCTGTTCATGTGACTGTCCCTTCACTGCCACTTCTGCTGCCAAATGCTTTGCAGGCCTGATTAACAAGTATCCAGCAGGTAATAGCTGGATTAGGCTGTTTATGTACAAGCACTGAGGGGCTGAGACATTGCTTTATGAAACCACAGAGCTGTGTTGGACGAAGCCAACACTACCGGGATTGCTACAGGAAGCTGCATAACACTGACATCACTCTTCCTCTGCCTACCCTTACTAGGGCCTGAATTGGATCACCTCTTGGGAATAGCAATGAATAAGCTGGAACAAGGTCTGAATGAGGGCCCCTATCAAAGCCAGGCCCTCACTCTGCTGCTGTGGGTAAGTTTGCACCATTCTGCCACACACTCTCTGGTAATAATACAAAGTTTAGTGTGCCATTTGTTCCCCTGCAGGTGAGCAAGGCCTTGTTACAACGCTACCACCCACTAACCAAACAACTGACTGACAAGGTAAGTTTCAGAAGAGCTGGGGTACTAAAGAGGACCACTAACCTGCTCTCTCCCTGCATTTTAATAGCTTCTGTCCTTCTATCCTATAGCTACTCATGCTTTTGGGGGACACATCCCTTGGCCCTACAGTGAGTGATGGCTTTGCCTTGCTTCTGGCGGACTCCCCGGATGTGCTGGGCAGGAGCTGCCATGCTGAGGTGCGCCTCATGTTCCGTCAGCGTTTCTTCACAGAATGTGTGCCACAGTTGGTACAGGGTTTCCACACAGCTGCTCCTGGTGAGAATATCTCTAGGTCTGTTTTTATGATGGCTGCATCCAGATACTTTAGATAATGTTCAGGTTTATCTAATTTGTATAGTTATTACATAATTTTAATCTTTTTTTGCCTGTAGAGTTTGTAGATTCTTGCATTGTATTCTAAGCCTGCTTTTTTCCATCCAGCTGTTCTAGGTTAGGTGTAGAACTGGAAGAAGCTTTTGAATCTTCTGCTTGCAGAGGAGGAAGAGCCCATGTTTCATACATCTTTTGGCAACCTCTTTCTGCTAAATGATTTTGGGTTTTTCAGGATTTCTGCAGTTATTAGGGGGCAGAAGAATTCACAGCCCTAACCTGTGTTGCTTTGCAGTTAGCTTCCCTTGAGAAATGAGATGGCTTTACTGTGCTGACAATAGGCGATTTTCACTAAGATCTGTAGTGGACAGTTCCCCTTGCAAGTTTCAAGCATGGCGAAGCCCCTCTAAGAGTTTTATCTGGGCTACAGGAGTGAGCTTTTGCCCTTCTCTTCTCAGGTGTGAAAGCAAATTATCTGAAGGGCCTTTCTCACATACTGAACCACCTGCCCAAGCCAGTGCTAGTGACAGAGCTGCCTACGGTGAGTGTGGACAAGCAGCCAAAGGTCAGGCCCTAAGAAATCTGGGCAGTTGTGAATTCTTTAGAACCTAGATGCATGTGTATAAACATAGAATCATGCCCTCCTGTTTCTTTCCTACCCCTGCAGTTGCTGCCTCTGTTGGTGGAAGCACTATCATGTTCTGACTGTGTAGTTCAGCTGTCAACTTTGCACTGTCTGCAGCCGTTATTGCTGGAGGCACCCCACATAATGAGTCTGCATATTGACACCCTTGTAGGGAAATTTCTTGGTCTGACTGACAGCCCTGCCATGGTGAGTACTGGGTAGTCTGTTCCTCTGCAGTCGGGTACTCGCTGGAGAGGCATTAACGTTCAGAAAGCTAAGGGGACCATCCGCCTTTATATTGCAGGCAATCCGCATTGCTGCACTTCAGTGCCTCCATGCACTTGCCTCCTTGCCCACACCAGTGGTAAGTGGTGAATCTCCGTAAGGGTGATGACTTAGCAGTTCTTATGCCTCCTGCACCATTATCTGTTTCTCGTCATGGGTAAAGCTTCTGTGGGTGATGTAGGGACCTCATTAATGCTGCTTTTTACTTACTTGTCAGGTAATCCCCTATAGGCCACGGGTAATTAAGGCACTAGCCAAGCCTTTGGATGATAAGAAGCGTCTGGTGAGGAAGGAAGCTGTGGCAGCACGAGGAGAATGGTGAGCAGTTGAATTTTCTTTGGGGATGCTGTATAAAAATGGTAGTACTTCTGAGTAACTGCTCAGATCCCCCTGATGTTCCCTTAAAGCCTGGCTACAGCTGAGATAGGCTAACAAAGATGTGAGGAAGTGCATAAAGGACTATTGCCTAAGAACACGTATTTGGACGTAGAATTTAGGGCTTCGACTCCCCCTTTCCTCTTATTGTCTAAACCAAGAGCTGTATTCTCTCTCCTCAGGTTTCTGCTTGGAACACCTGGCAGGTGAAGGTTCACATGGCAAATCCTGACAATCTCACCTGCCGAGCCATCTGCCTTGATGATGATCCTAGGGCTTAGATTTCCTTACAAAGTGGCAAGGCACTAGGCAAAAGTGAAGGACTTCTTTTTGTGGCAGCACTGCCCTTTTTGTGGGCTGGCAGAATCCTAACCACAGCATCCTTATTTGGTAAGACGAAACATCCAGCCCTAATTCCTGCTGCAGAGCAGTAGTGTGTGGAACTGGCAGGAGTCCTGTACACCAAGTGTGCGGGGCCAGAAGAATAAATAACTTGTTTGCTAACCACTTCTGGAAAACATGCCTGTTGTGGGGAAGGGCGATAATAAGCTTAGTTCTGCTGCTGGCCTTCCCCTTCATCATATAGTACGGATGGGGAACTTGTAGGCCAAAACACCTGTAGGGCTACAATTCCCATGATCCTTCACCATGAGCTATGCTGCCTGAGGCTGATGGAAGTGGTAAGCCAAAACATCTGGAAGACTACAACTTGCCCATCTAATCACACATTTTAGGTACGTTCCTATTGTGACAATGAATATATATGTATTAGTAAAAGTAGGGAAAGAACAGTTTTCCCTTTTTTATGATGCTAAGTTAAAACCTAGCACTTGAACTCAGTTTCATTCAAATCTCTTTTTACATACTTGATTTCTCTAGCCATAAATCCACAAACTAGGTGAATTATTCAATTACAGGTATTTTAAATAGCTTTGAAATAATATTCAGGGTAATTCTGAATATTAGCAGAATAGGCTGTCAAGCCTGGGCATGTTATTAACCATCTTATGTGACACATGCTGGAGAAAATGTAGAAAACTTTTTTAAAAAGCTATTTCAAAAAGCGGCTTACCATGCAGACTCACGCTGCTAGTATAATTTTTAAAACATCAGCTTTTGCCACAGTGGGAAGTAAAAGAAGTAAATTCTTCAGTGTCTTGTCCTTTCCTTGCACTATTCCATAGCAATGCTGTTCCCTGTTGAGCAAAATGCTAGGAATCACCCTTGGCACTGGCAGCAGGAACATAGAAACCGTCCTAGGCTTCTCTGAATTTTTCTGCATGGCGTTCAAACCACCCCTAGCTCAAGTTTGAATTATATATCTGGAATAATACGCTATTTGGAGTATACAGGACTACAGCTCTCCTGTTCATACACTACCACATGCCTTTCAAACAACCTACTGATGAAGACAGAAGTACCGACACAAATGGTGGTCAGAACAGAGGTAGTATTGTAGATGTTGAGAGTGGTTTGCACCTTAGTGCTGATGCTTAGTACAGAGTAAATTCTAAATTCATCCTTATTAGATCCTACTTAAGAAAAAGGCAAGGAAAGATTTCTGTCAGATTGAACATATCCCTCTTACTTCCAAAGTTTTAGTCATAATAAATTTTGAAAACACTAGGCACAGACAGTTTCTAACAAGTGAGGCTTGAGGCACTAAGGAAGTCTTAAATTTCACATTTGTGGGTTGCAAAGTAAATGTACTGAAGTACACTGTAGAGGTTTTGTACAGTGAACACTGACTGCATATATCTTGGTCTTTGTTTACACTATCAAACTTTGCTAGCTCTGTATAGTCCTACAAAGCTATATCCTCTTTAATTCTCCTGTACCACTGTTGGCAGTTTTAATTATGCAAACACAACTTGACGCAGGAGATGATGTATTTGGTAGAGGTCAATTTGGTGAAAATGATGCAAGTTTCTCCTTTTGGCTGATAGGAAGGATTATGATACCTACCAGGAGGTATCAAATGAAAGAGAAGGGGAAACAGTCCTGGACAGGAGTGGATAGCTCCAGCATATATCACTTCTGCAGCTGTGAAAAAAGTTCTGCAAAGACACACAATCCTAAACAAGCTGTGAACTAGGTAGAGCCAAGAGTTTGTCTTACTCAGATATTACTACCCCATATCCTTTTCCTTCCCTGAAAGAGGAACTGATGCCTGTATTAAAAATGTTTTATTATTTCTAAGGTTAAAAAGTCGCTGTCTACTTAGAGAGCAGCAGGACCTTGGTGTGCTAGCCAGCCCCTCTAGAGCAATGAGCAGAGAGAAGCCATCGCCACTTTCTCTGCTCAAGAATGATCATACTATTCCAGTCTTTGTAGAGTGACCTGTGCAGACACAAAGTAGATAACGGGCAAGACACCCCTGATTCACCTCAGCTGCCTGCAGCTGAGCTTTCCTCAGTCTTCCTCCCAAAACTGCTGGAGCAAGTGGTTCACTGCAGATGATCCAGCTATGCTGTGTTAGGCCGCCATCTCCTTTAAGGACTGGATTTTGTTATGTTTCCCAATGAAAACAGTCTGTGGCCTCAAGTCTTCAACCAGTTTGTGCCTTTTGCTCCATCTCCTGCTCAAATTGCCAAAAGAGGAGGTTTCTGTTCAGCAACACAGGCTGGAGTGTCCCACCTCATGCCAGATCCATAGGGTCGGTGGGTGGAGGGTAGCAGAACTCGAGTGACCCAGTGCCTAGGAAAGAAAGAACTGCCTTCAATAGAATATATGGAGTCCAGGAAGGTAGACTTGGTTATCTACTTCTCTTTAGTACTTTTCAGTTTACATAGACTGTCAAGGCCCACACTATTACTGTGGAATCCAAAATAAAGAGCTGTGACTTTGTGAATGGATCCAGGGTTGCCTACAGCCATTCTATTACCAGTGGCATAGTTTTATGTAGAGTACTTGCCAAGCTTCCTCCTCCTTTCAGGTTTCTTACCTTTGCCTCTCTATACCTAGAAAAACCTTCCAGTTGCCCAAAGGACCATAACTGTATGGATTTCGAAACACCTAGAGCCAAGAGAAGAATGATATGAAATGTATATTCTGTTAGGTAATTCCAGCACAAGTATTATTCCATCTTGTATAGCAACCCCTGCTGGAAGAATGCATGACTGCAAGGCAAATTACAGTACACTTTTAACTGGTCAGATAAATATAAAGCAAATTATAGTCCTTGTTTCTTTTTTTAAAAAATGACATCTAAGCCACTTGCAGTACCCTAAAAGAATCCAAACTTAAAACTACAAACAGTTTAGTTACAAGAAGTTCAAACCCATGTCTAAATAATGGTTTTGTGTATCCTGGAAGTCAGTAGAAATTGGCAGACAAACATCAAGAAAAGGTTGTTTCCACAAGGTGGGGTCTGTGGTAGAAAAGGCCCTGTTCCAAATATCCTGCATGGAGTCAGGAAGGTCCCTCCAGTATAGTGAGGCCATGTTGCCTGACATGTGATATGCACAATCCTTTTCTTCTTTGATAATACAAGCTACCACCTTTAGGCCACAATCGATACATATTTAGACAGAAAACAGTCCTTCATTGTGAATTAAAGAAATCCTAAAAGAAGGATAGGTATACCACCCCCATTTTCTTTCTCTGCAAAGGTTCAGACTCTCTCCTCACCTTGCCTTTCTTTTGGAGTCTCTTTCTTTCTTTGCGATTAATGTGCCTTTCGATGCTTGTCTCACCACGAGTGATGAGAACAGAATGCCACAGCATGAGAGCACCCAGTGCCAATGCTACTGAACTGGAGGAGGGAAGGAAGGAAAGGAATTATAAAACTGCCAAGGGTCTGAGATAGCCAGAACAGGTCACTTACAGGGGCACAGAAGGTTAGACTCAGGACAAAGTCAAGGCAGTGAAGCCCTGGGCCGTTCACTTTGCAGAAGGCGGAAAGGAGGACAGGAGGAGAGCTCTGTGCAACCAGGCTAACTTGGCAGCTTTCAGAAAGGGCTCTTGAGAGACCGCCTCCTCCCCCGCACTGCCATGAGCACTCTTAAACAGCCAGATCAGTTACCTGCAGAGGACCCAGGCATACACTATACTCTTGTGGAAAGCTCGCTGGCGGAAGGAGAAGGTGGGTGGTGGTGTCTGAGAGTATGTCTGCAAGGCAAAGCAGATGTTGCCCTGATCAGTTAAGTGAATGCAGCTGTGACCCACATCAGGACAATTATGGTAGTCTTCAAGGACAAATGAATGGATGGACAGCACAGCAGACAAAATGGATACCTTCTAAGAGATCTAAAAGATTGTGAATCAGCGATGGGCAGAGCATGGGACTTGGTACTCACTTCCCTTACTCCCCATCCTTGACTTGTATACTCAGAAAAGAGAGAGCACAATCTGCTTCTGCAGATACCCACTCCCCTCTGTAGGGCAATATATGGCCATTAAATGGGACTCTTAAGAGGCCTATGTGGGGGGGAAGGGAAGGGGCATATCTGGCCAGGAAAGGAATCTAAGCTGTTACAACCACTGCTGTAGATTCACTCCTGGGGCAAAACTCATGGCAAGCCCCCATGTCATGCTCTGCCCTGTCCCTGATTTGAGCAGCTAAGCAGCAAATACCCCACCTGATTGGCAGTCATGTGCAGTGTCTCCTTGTCAAGTAGTTTCATTCTCTATCGGATGGAAAACAAGCTGCCAGTTACAATGTTTCTGGGCCTATGTACCCCTGCTGCGTGCAGCAGCACCTTAAGCAGTGTCAGAGCTGGAAGGGGAAGAGTCCCTTCCACCAACCCAAGCGAAAACACCCCATCCATATCTCCCCCAAAACCAAAGATTATACAGGAATCTCACCTCAATAGCAGCATAGGCCTCCCAGAACATGTCCCAACCGCTGATACTGCTGTAGATACAGCCCATGGTCATGAACAACATGAAGGAGAAGAAGTACCGATGGTTGTAGTGTCCCACACAGTTGTTCAGCCATGCTGTCTCTCAGGGTTAAGTGTAACTGCAGATAAAAAGCCATCCCTCCTCACATCACAACAGACAACAGCCTATTCTGATGCTCCCAACAAAACTGCACTAATCGTTCACTGATTCTATTCAATATTGATAGCATTCTTGTTACACCTCAAGCATGTACCAATCCTAATTTTGTGAAGCTCTGCTTCTTACTATGCACAGTGTTATGCCAACAGGCAAGGATGTATCAGGGTAGTGCCACATGCACAAGGAACTGCAGCAACTTGTAGCCTCAGAATTTTTCTGAGGCCACAAGCAGGAAGTATAGTGATGTCATGTTGCCTCACTAGAGTAATGCACAAATCTCTTTAATACTACAAGGTGCCTCCTTTAGGGTATAATCCTGTATATCTACAGACAGAAACTAGTCCTACAGCTTTGCTGGTTGGAGAGTGCCGGCAGTTGTAAGACCATGGCTGTCTAAAGATGTATCTCTATCTCACCCATGCTGGACAGATTTCTTAACATTTTCTAAAAGTATATTTTGGATAGATTTCTTACCATTTTCTGGAGAGCAAACTTGGGCAACTTAAATTGGTCCAAATGTTTTGGCTACAATTCCAATCAGCCCTAGCCAGCATTGCCAATGATTGCAGGGGCATCCCAGGTATTCAAGTCCCTTGCATTTCTGGAACAAATGACCTGGTAGGACACTATCCATCACCCTAAGTCAGTCTTACTATGAGCCTGCAGAAGGATACGGCAGTGATGGTCCATCTTCAACACACACCTGTGGGAGGGAAATGCCACAGACTTTGAGCATTATTGCATAGAGCTTGGAGACTAGATAGTCAGAGGAAGAGCTGCTCCATGTGGCTAAACTATGGCACAGGCATAGTGCAGGCACAGAACTGTGACAAGGCAAGAGAGATTATGGTAAATCAGCACTCTAGTCTGTAGTACACATGCAAACAAGCAGCTTGTTGGAATCTTTATGGCAAGAACCAGTTAGCATGACTTTTAAGGGCCTGCCCCACTCCTGTATCCTATTCCCTTTGGGAATGTTGCCCAAGCTAAAAAGGAGGTTTCTCTGTGCGAGAGATGTTCCTGAAAGTAGGGGTTTGGGTGTGCTGTAGATATGCAAATCTGGAGAATTTGGTTGGAACTGGCTTCTTGAGAATTTTAGTTTTCATTTAGAATTCCTTTGCATAATTTATTCAGGTCATACAAGCTGGAGGATGCTCTCATGCAACCCTGCATATACCTCCTGCATTGATCTATTGTGATGCATTTTATAACTTGGCTGAAAGGAGCAAATTGAGGACTAGACCCAAGGATTCAAGCATGGTTTAGCTTCATGCTGAGAAGGCAATAATTAACCTATGTCAAAAATATAATATAAAATCCAGTACACGAAAATCTTACATTCTATATTCAAAATTATAAAGATCACAGAAGTAAATACTGGGTAATAGGATTATGTTGCTCACTTTGACATGCTTTGTTTTGAAACAAATATTTGGATAATAATGAGAAGCAGTAGGAGCTTACAGGAAGGGGAAAACAGGAATCAAAAGATTTTAACTCTGACTTTGCTGGAATGTGTTCCCATTCCCTTCTGTAAATTAGACTTGGCTCTGAGACTAAAAAAAATGTCTCCCACCCTATTTTAACAATCAGTTTTCAGCAATCTCTGCCAGGCATAGGATTCTACACCTGAAATCACAGTATTTTCCATATACATAAAAGATCAGAAGATAAATTAACCCCGTTATGGATACTGCCATAATTTGAGACATTGATCCTCCTGTGAGAAGGGGCCATAGCTCAGCAGTGCCTATCATGCAGGGTTCGGGTGTCATCTCCAAACTGCTCATGTCAAAAGATCTCTAGCAGGACTGGGAAAACTTCTGCCTGAGAAAATACTTAGATAAAATCATGGCTGAAGATCTGATATATCTTCACCCAAATCACATAATCACATCAATGGTTTAAGTCTGGTTTATGCAAATAAACTTTTAAGCAGTCATATTCCAGACAGTAGTGATTTCTCTGAATAAATAATCTTAAAGAAAAGAGAAACAAGTTCTAGGTGACAAGAAGGAAAGAAATAGCATTTGAGTTGGATGGAAGGGTGATGCCCACCTATTGCAAATGCTGCAGTGATGGGTCCGGGCAGGCTTTGGTGCAATACATTTCCTGCAGATAGAGACGGCAGCAACATCACTCTTTGACTGCTGTGGGAAGAGAACAGAGTGGTCATGGAACCTTCACTAGCAAGCAAGAATGCCATTTCCTCATATTTCCTCAAAATAAACACCAGATCAAGAATATGTGGATCTAGTACCTCTAGAGCAAGCATAGACAGAAAGTAGATCTCCAGCTGTTTTGGACATTTTTTCAGAAGTCTCTGGAAGCATGTCTGATGCTTGGGAATGCTGAAAGCTGAAGTCCAAGGCATCTGGAACTCTATTTTCTGCACAGCCCTGCTTTAGAGCCACCACACAGCATCAACTGAAGGCCAGTCTTCAGTTCATGAGGAAATGGTAGGAAGTGATGACAAGCAGCTTTGCTTTGAATCTCAGCATTCAAACAAAGAAGGCAAACAAGAACATAAGAACAGCCGTGCTGGACCAAACCCAAAGCCTGTCTAGTCCAGCAGTCGGAACACACACGGGCAAACCAGCTGCCCACAGGATCCCTCAAGCAGGACGGCTGCAAGACCTCCTCCTAGACTACTTCCTCATGAATCTGCCCAATTACTTTTTAAAGATTGGTGGCCAACACTGCTTCCTGAGGTAGCAAAGTCCATAGTTTACATGCTGTGTGAAGTACTTCTTTTTATCTGTCCTAAACCTCCCACCAATCAGTTTCATGGGATGACCCAATGTTCAAGTATTCAAATGTCTCCTTCTCCACACCATGCATTATTTTAAACCCCTCTATCATGTCTCCCCTTACTCGCCTTTTTTCTAAGCTGAACTGTCCCAGTTGTAGCCATTCCTCATACGGGAGCTGCTTCAGCCCCCTGATCATTTTTGTTGCCCTTATCTATACTTTCTCCAGTCCATTTTCAAGTAAGGCGACCAGAACTGAACACTTCCAAGACAAGTTTCACCAAAGATTTGAGAAGTAAGATTTTGGCAGTTTTTTTATTCCATTCCTAATTATGCCAAGTGTGAAGTTTGCCTTCTTCACAGCAGCTGAGCACTGGGCCAGCATTTTCATTGAGCTGTCCACCGCTGCCCCAAGATCCCTTTCTTACTCAGTTACTGCCAGCTGAGATCCCATCTGTGTATACTTGAAGTTGGGTTTTTCGGCACCAAAATGCATTATTCTGCATTTTCTTATATTGAACTGCATTTGCCATTTTGATCCCCATTCTTCCAACTTAGTGTTACTCTTTGGAGCGCCTCACAAGCCATTTTGGGTTTAACCCCCCTAAAAGGTTTATTGTCATCAGTAAACTCAGCAAACTTACTCCTATTTGCAAATCATTTATGAATAGGATGAAAAGCTTTTGTCCTTACACAGAACTCTGGGACTCCAGTGATTAGATCCCTCCATTGGGAGAAGCTGCCATTCATTCCTGTCCTCTGTCTTCCATTCTTTAACTAGTTAGAGTTCCATAAGAGGACCACCTTTTTATTGCAGGACTGCTTAGTTTGTGCAGGAGCCTTTGGCAAGTGACTTTGTCAAAAGCCTTTTGGAAGTCCAAGCAAACGGTGTCTATGGGATCACCCCTGTCTACATGCTTATTGACGCTCTCAAATCCAATCAGTTAGTGTGACAAGACTTCCCCTTGCAGAAGCCATGCTGATTTCTTTACCTGTGGGGGATAACCAGGCTGTGTTGTGATGGCCATGTAATAGTGGAAGACTATCATGACGAGGTTCCAGTGGCCATAGATGAAGTGCCAGAAGATCCAGCCGATGGGGTAGGTCTGTAAGATGAGTGGCAGGAGGCAGACGTATACTATGGCCACCACTGAGCTGGTCAATGTGATCACCAAAGCCACAAACACCTGTTACAGGGAGGAGGAAAAGAGCTGAGCCACCAGCATCCCACCAATTAGTCAGCCCTTTCAGTGGAAAAATGGGTAGGTGATGGACGCTCAGCTTGGTTTTCATGGAAATCTTGAGAGAGAGCAGAGCCAGGAAATGGTTATGGGATTCTGCAAAGCACCAATACCATCTCCTCCTGCATCTGCAAAGTCATACATCTCCTTGCCTTGCTTAGTAGTTTGAAGTAGCTACTCATGGCAGCTTGAAACCTGGAGCTGCAGCTCTGAGAGCTTGAGCTGAAAGACTCCAACAAGCCTTAAGCTCCACTACTGTTCCTTTTTCCTTAGTACTCACCACCCCGAACCAACGGGTGACATGGTCCACTAGCCAGTAGATGGGCTCAAAGAGGGCATCAAGAGCAGTGTCACCATCAGCGAAGGAATTGTACACTAGAGAACGTAAACATAGCCATCCGTAGAGCCACAGTTGTTCCACCTGCCGAGTCAGCCAGAACCGACGCCGCTCACCTATCCGCAGGCACTTCAGGAAGAGGCGCATGACAGCAGAGTACATCCGCCGTCGGCTCCTCATCCCTGACATTCAGAGCCTGAGGAGAGAGGAAACCATGTCAGCAAATACCGGTCAGGGGATTTAGAGAGCAGGCAAAGGTTTGTTTTTAAACATCCAGCAGTTCCAAGTGGGCTAAAAATCTAATAAACACACAAACCTACTGTTCCAGCATCATGATGCTAAGGGATGTAATGCTGCAGGGAGGTGGAACAACCATTACTCAACCTAGATAGTGCTGAGACTGGGGAGTCGCTCTCCTTTCAAATGACTTCAAATGCAGCAGTTTTGCGCTCTCCTTACTATCAGTGGGGGGAAAGGACACAGCCTTAACTAATACTCTGAGTGGGAGTGCCCCATACGGCTTTGTTGATATTTCTGTTTACTTCCTCAGATGGAACAGCAAGACTCCTTCTGTACCCATATGCAGAAAGAGTTCAAGGGATCAGAGATTTCCCAAATCATTCTCCAAAGTGTTAGTAGGGCACATCTGTGGGAATTACGTTCGGGTTTCTTTTTGCAAATGTCGTTGTACTAATTGCAGATAGCCATGATGAAGGGAGAGGAAATAAAATAACTACTCTGAGGAAATCAGAAATATGATGAGTGGTAATGACACTGTGTCTTTCCTAGGATTTGTTAGGACTGGCAAGGTCCAGAATTTCTGAAGACAGGTGAAATACCTAAGATAAGGAATGAACCCTCACTAAAGGACAAATAACCCCTTACTTCCTCAGCCTGGTAGAGGGAGTACCAGCTTGGAGAAGGTTGCTTCATAGAGCTGAGTACCTATAAAATTTAGAGAGCTGTCACATAGTAATGGAGTAGACTGAATCTTTGCTCCCATCTTTTGCACTTCCCTTGAACTCTGTAGAATGTTTGTTAACAGGAAAAAACCCATTGGAGAAGAAGGCAATGTAACTATCAATCATTCCCCCAAATCTGCCTAATCTCTTTGCCAAATCTACCTTAACTGGGGTACAGCTAAGAGATCCAAGAAGAAATAAATTATAAAAGACGAGACTAGAGGATGACACTTACCTGCTTGCTCAAGTCCAGCATCAAACTGCAACTAATTTAAGAGCAAGGAGGAACATGAGCTAGGCCAGCTCAACAGAAAGCTGATCTTGGCCAATTAATATTAACCAGGAGTGTGACCTTAGGAACTCCTCAGGGTAGAACAACCTAGCAAGGGGGCTGTGGAGCAGAAACAGCACAAAGGGGACTAAGGTAGGAAACATAGCACTTCCCTAACAGGCTTCAAATTAATTTTTAGTTTATACAAATGTAGGCAAGCAGGCTTCTGTCCAGCTGGTTCCACAGCATCTATGAATTGCAGTCTCCATTTAATCCAACAAAACTCCCAACTCCCTCCAGTCAAGTCTTATTTCTTTCAAAATATCTTCTGATGTTGCTGAGAGAGAACATATTTCTTAAAGTTTCTTCTATCTCAGAGCTACTTACCTTTTGGGCTTCGTCTAAACATATGGTATAGGTATACAAGTTAGGCAATCTAAGTCTACCTTAAAGTCACTCACACATGAATATATTTTCTCAGGATCTTCTTAATTCTGCAACTAAAAAGTCTGACAGAATTTCACACTTAACTGCAGAATTTCTGCAGCGCTCTGCTCAGAGAAGTTCCCCACAGGACAGACAGGATCTTTATGTATAATACATTTAATGATCTGGTGGTCACATAATTCATTTGGAATATTTATGGGCAAAAGCAGAAGTCTCCATTTATCTGTATGGACTCAACTACTGTTAAGTGATCAAGCATTCACTCACATTGGCCCATTTGTGCTGGCAATTACAGCGCATGCATGCATGCGCACACATGCACATCCAAATATTATGCATGCCATTAGCTGGGAATATCCAGAGTTGAGCCCATTCTTTGCAACTGAGCAGAATTGGCATCATTCCTGGGCACAGATTAAGGGTGATTTCTGAAGCTAGCGTCACTCCTCTAGCAGATGGCAGCAATAGCAAAAAAAAAAAAAAAAAACCCCACACAAGGGAAGATTAGTGGCTGTGATGCTCACCAAGCAATGCTCAACAGACAGTGGGTCTTATATGGTGAGGAGGTCAAGTGGTTAAAGAGATGTTATAGTCCAACCTACTCCAACCTAGTGCAGACCAGATGAGGTTGGATTACCATCTCCAGCCGTCATGTTGTCTGAGAATGGCAAGAGCCTTAATCTAACTACACCTGGAGAATACCAAGTTGGAGGTGGATGTTATGGTCACTACATTCTTTAGGAAAAGAAAGTCAATTTGGGTTGTATCAAAGGTCTACAGTCAATTCCAGTTCTCTTACTCTAGGCATACCAACCCCTAATGCAGTCTCCCATCCTCCTGAATAAATGCCAGCACTGGAGTGTCGGGGGAGCTGGAGGAAGGGAAGATTCATGTCCGTCCAACAGAACGTTTGTAGAGACTTGGAAAGTGGAAAGACTATTCATTTCAGCAGGGTTTGGATCTATTTGAGCGGGAGAACCACGCATCCCGAGGAAGTCTGTTCCAGTGTGCAGCTGCTATAGGGAAAGGTAGCTGAGCAGTTACTGAGGAAACAAAGGAGAGTCGCTCCAGCTTCGTTCCACAGCCGCGGAACGTCCACAGAGAGGAAGCTGTACATCAGAAATCGGGCATGGAAGAGAAGCCCCTAAACAGCAAGGGAGAAAAGGGGCACCGCCGGAAAAGCAGCCTCTTCCAAAGCGCAAAGGGGAAATGAGGTCTATCCCAGCATGCACCACAAGAACACAGCGCGTAAGACACCTCTCCTTCTTACCTGGCACTGCCATTCTCTGGGTCCAGTCCAACCCAGACTACAAACCCTGCTACCGTAACCATGCAGACATCATCAGCTTCTTAACCACCCTTTCATTCGCCCCACCTCATTCACGCATGCGCAAGCGTGCGCCCTCCAAGCTATAGGGAACTACGATTCCCATCGCCCTTTGCGCGCCGCGCGACACTTTCACCTCCGGCTTTGGTTACATTTTGACCTCGTTAGAGCTTTCGCCCATAACGGACTGCTCTCCAGAGGGAACGCGTGCGTGAAAGAAGTCATGTGATCACAGGGGCGCCCAGTGAGAAGGCGGCTTACGAGTAGCCTAATAGAAAGCACTTTTCCTGCGACCCGGACGGTGAGCGGAGGCAGCTGAAGTTGCTGCGGCCATGGCTCCGTTACGCTACTGTGTCCCTGGTAGGTGACTGGGAACGGGGTGGAAAGCCAAGCCGTGGAAACGGTGCTCGTGAGTCCACCTGCAAAGGGATTCTCTGGCCGAACGAGGCAGACTGTCCGTATTTAGACATCTGTCACAGCAGCCTTTCGAAACCTGGTGCTCTCTGAGGCCACTGGACAACAAGTCCCATCACCCCAGCCAGCTCTGGTGGCTGGGGTGATGGGAATTGCAGTAGAACACATCTGGATGGCGCCTAAGTGAGGAAGGCTGATGTAGGCCTCTAGTCTAATCCGACAGAGTTCTTACGTTGATGGTTGGAGAAAGATGGATAGACATAATGGACGTAGGATAGTGCTGGGGTGGGAGTATGGCTCAGCTCAAGGACCCCTCTGATTCAGTGTTTCGTTCATCTCCGGTGGCCAGCCAGAGAAACCCCCGACCAGGGCATAGAGCCAGTAGTACTCCCCACCTTTCGTGGAACTGTTATTCTGAAGTATATGTTCTGAGCCCTGAGGTCTTCACTGTTGATAAAGCTAATCCTCAGTGAATTCGTCTAATCCTTTAAAAAAGGCATCTAAGCTAGTGTCCACAGCTACATCATGTAGCAGTGAATTCTATAAGTTAACTATGCATTTTGTGGGAGAAGGACTTCCTCTTTGACTGCCCAGAATTTGCTACTGGTCTGTTTCATTGGCTGACCCTGAGTTTTGGCATTATGAACAAGGAAGAAATAATGCTCACTCACATGCACTCCAGCTCTGTTTGCATCCCTACTTTTTTACCATGTAGCTTTGTTTGACAGGACTACCCTCATGCTTTCATTAGTAAAATTTATTTACTAATTTATTGGCTTTTTTCCTGTATGGAACCCAGGGTGCCTTACCTAATCTTCCTTTTCTCCATTTTATCCTTGTAGCAACCTTGTGAGGTAGGTTAGGCTAAGAGTCATGATGGCCCAAAGTCACCCTGTGAGCTTCATGGGAGATCCAGGTTTAGTCTTCACTCAGCCAAGTTCCAGTTCAACCACTATATTGTACTGGCACTACACACACTGTAGAATTCTTTATTCTGGAATTGCCCTGATCTCTCCTGCATGTAGAATTGCATTCCTTGTGCCTTGTTTGGAGGTACAGTGGACCTTTCAAGGGGTGTTTTTTTGCTTTCTGGAGAGAGCTGAGATGGGACATGGCTTGCCAATTCCTGCCCCATATGCTGTATGCATTTGCTTTATATATTTAAAGCATTTTACCCTATTGTTATGTGTCAAGGCTCTTGGAAGCATTTGTGTAAGATAACATAATTTATATTTTTCAAATGTATGTATTTTTACTAGCCTATTTTTTAAAAGCGGTAAAAACCTTTTGCCTTGTTGGGTTTTGTTTCTTTTCTCCCTCACAGGTAGTTGCCCTTAAGTAGTTACATAGTAAGAAGAGAAACACATTATAAATGTACTGAACCACTATGGAGATGCAGTAGAAATTGCATGTAATATGCTGTTCCAATCACAGTCCTTTAACAGAAGAGGAGTCTATAACACAACACTAACTTTTAAAACTGTGAGGTACCTGAGCTGGTACTGCTTTCATCATGACATTTTCACTTGTGGTGTTTGCTAATGCTTGGGGAAAACTTACAGAATCTATAAGAGTGTATAAACTACTCAATGAACACTGTGCAGACAAGACTGTATAATCCTAATTTCCTCTAGCACAGGTAATGAGAATAGTAGGTTGCCTCAGGTAAACTGTGACTTGTTGAGAGATCCTTGACTTGTGTTCTATCTTACAGGAGAGCGACTCTGCAGCTTAGAGGAAGGAACATCTGGGAGTGGCACCTACACACGTCATGGGTCTATCTTTTCCTCTTTGGCTGGCTGTCTCATGAAGAAAACGGAAAATGGCATGGTGAGAATGATGTAATCTCTATGCATCATTTGGGGACTGGGTGGAGGAGTAGCACGTGCAGGATGCTCCCAGCAGTCCCAGTCTGAGCATGGTGAAAGGGAGAGAAACAAAGCCACAGGTGCAAAAGGTACGAGTCTGTGGCCCAAGATGAACAAGAATAGGAATGTGATAAACTGGTAATCCAGATGACGCTGCAGTTACAGTTATTTTATGGTGTTGCCTTAGTATTCTGAGGCATTACAGCAAGTGAATGATAAGAACTGATAATATTGGCTTCCCTACAGCTCCCCGTGATCTCTGTGATGAGAGATGCAGAGTCGCAGCTTCTGCCTGATGTGGGAGCCACAGTAACATGCAAGGTAATTTCTAAAGTTTTAACTGGGGACAGTAGAATTATCCTATGTGTCAGGCAAAGCAACAGTTGAGGATATGAATAGAATATATAAGCCTTAGGCATCAAGATTGACCTTACAATGTTATTTCTGCATCTATTTATACTTAAGATGTAGTGGCCCCTGCAGTTCTTCCTCACAAGGTGCAGTTATGATCTTTTCCTTCAGAGATTGGATGTAGAAGGAAGGGAACAGGAACACACTCCATCCCAGAACCTAGATTAGACTTCTTCCTCACAGAACTGACAGCTTCACAGCCAGCAATTCTAATTGTGCTTTTGTCTGATAAAGGGAGGAGGATGACTAAGACACTAAAAGTTGCTATGTGCTGAAATTATGGCTCCAGATTAAACCGTTCACAATCCTGACTTTTTTTTCACCCCACTTCCATCCAGGTTTGCAGCATTAACTCTCGTTTTGTGAAAGTGCATATCTTGTATGTTGGCTCTACACCACTAAAGTCTCCATTCCGTGGAACAATACGGTAAGGAGTGATCTTAGTTACCCTGGTTATCTGTACTGTTAGGGGCTGTCTTGATCTTCCCTCTCAGTTAACGTTTTGATTTCATCATTGGCAGTTTGGTTATAGTGAGAATTAATGATCTATTGAATCTGTAATAGATCTGTAAATGATTGATGGTGGTACAATCAGTTGTCTTATGAGAAGGAGAGAAAAGTAGGAAGATTTAAGATCTCATCTTCACTTCTCCCTTTACAGAAGAGAAGATATTCGAGCTACAGAGAAAGACAAGGTCTGTTGGCTAAACATTTTGACTAGAACATATGAATAAAATGGGTAGCATTGCTAATTCACATAACACTTGTTTCTGATGCTTAATGCATGCCTGTTCATTACTGCTCTTGGGTCAGCTTCCTGATAGAAGTCAGCATCCTATGTGGAGGCCATTCAGCAATGCCTCTTTTTAAGGTTTGTGAAGGATAAAATTGGTTTGCTGGACTAAACATATCCTGAACACAAAATCAGGTAAGTGTCATGGGGATGCTTTAAGCCTTCCTACATGTCCAAATGGGCCTTGCTTTATTGCACCATCCCTCTGATAGCATCAGTTTCTTGAAGTTGCTGATACATTTTGATTGCTGTATGTTCCCCTTCTCCCCTCCCTCCCCCTTCCCCCCCCCCCGGCACTTCCCATTCCACCTCCTCGCCCCTACATGATGACAGGTAGAAGTTTACAAGAGCTTCCGACCAGGAGACATTGTTTTGGCCAAAGTTGTATCCTTTTTCTATTGCCTGTACATCCAAGTTTGTGACTGTTAGGTGGAAAAGAAAACTTCAGTTTATTTCCCTTAACTTGTGGAACTAGATCTCTTTAGGGGATGCACAGTCAAATTACTTGCTCACCACAGCAGAAAATGAGCTAGGGGTAGTGGTGGCTCACAGTGAAGCAGGTAAGAACAATCACGTTCCAAGCAAGTTGAAGGTAATGCTGAATTATTATATACAATCTGGCATCTTCTGGCCTCAAGCATCTGCAAAAATAAGTAGGAAGTAGTGTGTCCTTGGTAACACTGGTGTCGGGTGAAGGAAAAGTTGAGAATAATGTATAGTAAGCTCTCAGTGTAAAGTAAAATGGGCAGTTTGTGGGTACCTGGTTTTGGAGAACCTTCTAGGACTGGAGCAGCTCAGTTTTGTGGTAGAAACATAGCTATCTCCATCCAGTGGGGGACTTTTTCTTTCCCAGGGGAGGATGTGAATATTAATTTCTGCTTTGATCCCAGGTGTACAGATGGTGCCAATCAGCTGGTGTGAAATGCAGTGCCCCAGCACACATGGCAAGGAGATGCGCAAGGTAGCCCGGGTACAGCCCCAGTTTCTACAGACATAGTGAACAATGCATATGCCAAGATGCACAGCTAGTACAGGAAAGGTCTGGCTGTGGACAGAGCTAAAGGGACTTAATACTGCCTTTCAGTGCTGCTGCTGTGAATGAGCCTCACGAGTGTGCAAGATAGAGCTGGGCCTAAAGAAACATATACTCCACTTTCTGAAATAGTCTGAGGAAGAGCCCCACAGCCTCATTTTCCAATTTTTCATGCCAATCGCACTGTCTTTTTTCTAAAATAAATGCACTATTTTCTGTACTTTCCATGGTTTCTGTCTTGACTCAGTCATAGGACCTGGTAATTCCTGCTTTGAAAGGAGAAATAGAACTATGTAAATAGTTGCCTGCTGCATTTTTTCAGCTTTTTTTCCTCTTTATTTTTACATATACCACCTCAGGGTGATATTAATAATTTTCCTCCAGAGAAGGTTAAGTGCCTCATTTGTACTTTGAACCTGGTGATTATGGATAATCTTTGCTATACTTCCCTACTGTTTTTGGTACACTAATACTCTTAGCTAGAACAGAATTATGCAGAGATATTAGTAAGACTGGAGTTCCCAGTATGGTGCCATCTGCCCCAGTGTGCCAGATCTGCTAGACTCCCTGCCCCTTCTGATTGCTAACTTGTCTTTTTTTAAGTAATTAGAAGGCAGGCATGCTATAAAGCAAAGAACTGATCTCCAGGCTATCTTTATTTCTAAGAAAAAAATCTGGACCCCTCATAGACCTGTCATTTTTAGAAAAAATGGCACATAGCTTGTAGCTCAGCATTTTGTTCTGATGTCTATCCTCTCTCCAACCTCTAAAAAAAGAAAAGCTAAACCAGGGACTGATAGGGAATATTTTAGGAGGCTAGAATGGGTGGTGATTGGGGGGTGGGTCAGTACTTTTTTCTGTGTTTTGTCTTTCGTGCATGTGTGTTAACATAGTTGGCTTTTTATTTAAATCATTTTAGACTGCCTTTAAGGGTAAAACCATTTGTTATAACACAAACACTGCCAAAATGCACATTACTCTGCTTTCACCTATTTGCCTTTGGGGAAATTGGCATTTTGTAACTGGCCATGCCCACCATGGTAGCCATTTTGTGAGAATCCACAACACTTGAATGTGCCTTTCGGCTGAAAATGTTGGCAACCCCTGCAGTGAGACAGTACTGAAGGACAGTTTGTGTAGCCCAGTTATGAGAGGCTGAGAGTTAAGTAAATCATGTTGCAGTTCTTCCAGCTGGCTCTGTGTAACTAAGATTTTGAAGAACAACTTTGATCCTCCCACAAATGAGTTTCTCTGATATGCTCCTTTGGTAATTATTTGATCAGGCCATAGAGGTCTGTTGGCTTCTACTTCCCTAAAACAACCGTATCAAATGCAATCAGAAGGGGCATGGGATATTCTGGTGGACACTTTTCTGTACAACCAACCCTTACGTCCTTAGGTCTAGTTTGCTAGATCACCTGCAAGATGAAGAATCTTGAGCAGATATCCTGGGGAAATATAGCAAGGAGAAGAAATGCTTTTACTTGTGCTCCTGCCTGTTTTCCAAAACTCCCATACAAGTCTTTGGGCATTTCTTCTTAGCGTAAGTTTTCTCATATAGAGTAGGACCCTTTCCAGCATTCTGAAGTATTTTAGTCCCAACATGGTTTGCCATCTGTCTAAACTAGAAATATATTGCTTAGCCTGATCAGTTTTAGCGAATCTGCCTAAATAAAGTTGGGCTTTTTTCTCTCAAACTGAAATATGACTATTTAAATCTCTTTTTGAACCTGAACTGTGGACTAGAACATCATGAGTTGAGTACAAGGAGCTTTACTAAAAGAAAAATAGTTATGGCCAAGGGCTGAGCATGGCGTCTGCCTTGACTTTCTGTATTTAGGTTTCATACCTAATACTGCTAAGATTACTTAAAAGGTGCAAGGAGCCTGATTTGACTACTTGGGTTGGATAGTCACTAATTAGGTGAGAAATGTGGGGCTGGTTAGGCCAGCTTCTGTACTTCTTGCACTGTTGGCAGATGGAAGTAGAGCTTTCCTTTTCCACTTCCTTAGAGGAAGCAAACATTCCTGCTTGAGCTGGAACCTTATGCTAGCTTCCTTCACCCAAGCTGCTGCTTTGTTGTAAACCATCCAGAGACATCAGTGATGGATCGGTATGTAAGTTTTGTTTTAAAAAAAGCTGAAACGTGGATAGGTAGAAACAAACAAGTTGTGTTACATTAACTGCTGAACTAGAACTGCTAGCATATGGCTGTAATGTTGCTGTCAATCATGATAAAATCAACAGTCTGAGAAGACTGCAGACCTCACAGTATAACCTGAATATCAACTTCCTTTTTAACAAAATAGCTGCTTCTTTCCAAAAATACTTTCCTGAAGTAGGAGTGTCCCTGGAGGCTGCATAAGAGATGGGTTCTAAATAGTAACCCATTTTGCCGGTTTCTTAAGTGTATCTCTAGAGTGGGTGTGAGAGGTATAGGGACCAGGAATAAATTCCATCATAGAATGGGAAGGCTGGGATGGTCAGGCAACCATTGCCTTACAGCTCTCTGCTCCTGAGCCTCACACTTCTGAGGTTGCAGTGGATCCTGCAAGCTAACCTGTGGCATCACCTTGCCTGGTGACATGAATCCTCACTGGTATGGTGGCACAGGTGTCTCAACCCCATTCATTGCCCCCACTCTGGTAAGTAACACAGACACAGCATCTATTGCACATAATTCTTTATTTTACTGAGGCTAGGGCAAATGCAACCATTGTACAGTGAAGTGAGCTTCAGTGTAAGCCTGCCTTATGTCAGATAGGGATACCACACAGACTGTGAGGCAGAAAAGCAACACATGATGATACGCATTATTATCTGGGCTTACTGGCACTACACAGCAAGGTTATGGGATCACAGCTGGAGATTCCAGGATGGGGGCCCTTCTCTTCCTGGCCTCACCCCTTTTCCCTATCATTTTCAAGGCAATGAAACCTAATACAGAATCAGGTGTAGCTTGAGGGACAGCTTAAAAATATATGTGGCCCTTTGGTGAAGTGACAAGCTGTTTCTACAAACACCCAATAGACATCAATTATCCTTGAAACTCTGATGTGCTGTCCAGAGCAACCCTAGTTTCAAAGTCACAATCCGGAATGGCCAAACCACATCAAGCAACACTTGACTGACTACAACTACAGCTGCCACATTACATGGAATGAAGGCAGGAAGGGCACTCTTTGGGGAAGGCCCTTCCATTTTAGCAGCACCACTTTCCATTGCACTGAGCTTGGCTATATTCCCAGAGCCCCTGCTGGATCGTGGTTCACATCCCGAGGCTGATCCTGCTGGGGAAAAGTGAATGTGGAAGGAAATTGGTCTTGAAGGAAATAACATGGCCCTAGGAAGCTTCACTTCCTTTGGCTCTGCAGCCCAGTCCCTCAGGCTTGCAACAGGTATGTGCTGGGAAGGGAAAGGGAGGAGAGAGGGGATCTTCTACTGATTGTGTACTCCTGCCTTCACTTCTTGACCTTGCCTTGGGCTGCCACAGCTTCCATGGCCTTACGGACTGTCTCCTCATCCCCCAGGAACTGCATGGGCTTGATGGGCTTCAGGTTTTTGTCCAACTCGTAGACTATGGGGATACCAGTAGGCAGATTGAGTTCCATGATCGCTGCTTCAGACATTCCTGAAAGGAGAGGAATTAGTCACATAAGCAGCTTGGCATTATTACCCCACACAAGAACCTTCTTGGGGTTTAGAATCAGACCTGAACAGCAAAAGATACACAAGTCTGGTCAAGTCAGAAGTAGACTTACCTTCTAAATGCTTAACAATGCCACGAAGACTGTTGCCATGGGCAGCAATGAGCACCCGCTTGCCTTCTTTGATCTGAGGAACAATTTCCTCATTCCAGAAAGGCAAGGCACGAGCAATGGTATCTTTCAGGCTCTCACATGTAGGCAGTTGATCTTCAGTGAGGTCAGCATAGCGGCGATCCTAGGGAAGAATATGCAGTGGCACTTAAAACACGGCTGCAAATTCCTGGACACTATGAAAGCCACCTGCTTTGTGGGATTCTTTGGATGTCGAAGTATGGCAGGCAAGTATGCCCACAGTAACAGATCAACAAATCAGCTTTTCTAAAGCAGTTCTCCAAGTGAGGAAACGCACCTCAAACTGCTTGAGAAAAGTTGATTCTTAGATCTGTGTTGCACTGTGCTCCAGCTATGCACAATGCTCACAGTCACCTGCTCCACCTGACCTCTTAAGAGTAGGCATTTTACAAGCAGGCCCATGGGAGGTGCTGTGTTTCTACTGAGATCTCAGACCAGTGGTATTCCACATAAACAGTATTATTTCTTAATATTTATAGTCTGTAGGTTTTAAATCGGGGTTGGCTGTGGCCCTCCAGATATTTTGCCTTAAAAATTGCCCACCCCATTGTAAAGAATGGTTTGCCAAAACTGATCTCCATCATTTAGATGGAGCACAAAACGTAATGCTTTGGTCCTTCACCATTTGCTCCACTGAAGCCTTCTCTAATATTGTGTTTTCCTTTGTAGAAACATAATTTTAATCATTAAATAAGTCTGGATATGCATTTATTGGTAATACTTCTATAGCACTGACTAGAACAAAATCCCTAAGCAGTTCACATATAAATGTTAAAATTACATTAAACGTACAATATTAAAAACAATTCCAATTGCAACAGTACAGTGCATAACAATACAAGGAACTGTAACATGAAGCAGCATGATTAATTACTAGCCAGAAAAAGCCTGAGTGAACAAGTACATTTTTGAGAAGCATTCAGTTTTGGCTCCTAAACTGCACAGGGAAAGGTTTTCCCAGCGCAAGATGGGGGCTGCTGCCTTTTTACTAGCCCCAATCACAATCTAACTGTCCTGTTGTATTTAATCTGTCTGGCAGAAAGGCGATGCTTCTAGTCTTTCAATCCATATATTCGAATACTGGTAAACTAATTCACATTAGTGCATTCACTGTGTGAATATAGCCAAGTGCTAGGAGTTACTCCAGATGTGTTCAATATAAAATTAAACAGCATGATCTTACATGTGACTTATACACTCTGGCCATTGGCATGGTTCAATCCAACATGCCGTCTAGGTGGAAGTCTGCACCGCCTCTGTACAAACAGCCTTGACTGCTGTCACCACGCAGTACAAACATCCATGAAGGAACACAGTGTAAATGATTAATTGCATGACTGGGATTCTCGTTTGTCACAATAGCCACATCCCATATAAAACCAGCAATTAACAAGGCTAACTGTAGGATTCCCAAAGACACTGGAACAAGGTGAGTAAAATATGGATAATGGATAACATCCAAGCAACTGCTGAAGGAGTTGGGTGAAAAAGGAGGCTGTTAAATCCATTGCTTGGGAAATGGAATAACAAGAGGTGTGACATGAAGTCAAATCCTATTTATAAGACTCCCCTTCATGATAATCATTTCAAAATCCTCTCTGGCATCCCTTAAAGCACCTTCATATCACTTACAGATTAGAGCTTTCTGACTCACCTTGCTGATGGTACTGTAGAAGGGGTGATCAGGTTCCATTGGAGGTGGTGGAACATCAAAGGAACGCCTCCAGATCTTCACCTGGGCCTCACCATGTTTAGCAGCTGTCTCAGCCTTGTTCAAGCCTGTCAGGCCACCATAGTGCCTCTCATTGAGACGCCAGGTCCTCACTACAGGTAGCCACATTTGATCAATGGCGTCCAGCACAGTCCAGAGGGTGCGGATTGCCCTCTTCTGTACAGATGTGAAGCAAATGTCAAACTCATAGCCAGCATCTGGAAGGATCCAGAGGGTACAAAATGTATTGATAGACTCCAACTTTGCACAAACTTAAAAAGACTTGACAAATTCATGCAGAATACAGCTATTAATGGCTACTAGTCATGATGACTATTTGTTGCCTCCAGTATCAAAGGTAGTATGACAGAGCACTAGAAAGAGGGTACTAATGCACTCATGCTCTGCATGTGGTCTTCCGGTTGCCACACTGGCTTGCTACTGTGAGAACAAAATGCTACAGTGAATAAGCTTTTGACCATTCTTCTTGCAAATTAATATGAATTAATCAAATTAATTCAAGCTGTAGTCTGCTCTATCCAAAAGCTCAATAACACAGTACTCTACAACGATTATGAGTTAAGTACAAAGCTAGTCCTGTGACTCCTAACTTGAGGTACTAAAGTAAGCTAAACATCTCAGCCTAACACTTTAGTGTGGAAGCCTCACATCTGTTCACTCAAGAGTATAATGCCAAACACAAGATGAAGCACTTACCCACTAATCTGGAGGAAAAACCCAAATATATCACACAAACAAATCAACTGTGGTTAAAATATGCACTTTTATTCCCCTTGTATGCTCACCATCACCAAATGGCAGTGTTGAAAGTAACAATAAACCCAGCAAAATACCCACACATTGCATTATTACAAGCTTGTCCAGTTCAGTCAGTTCATGCTGATTGGCTACACAGGAACTCAGTGAAATGGAGATGAAATGCTTATGTAATCATGGGGGGGGGGGCGCGTGGAGAACAGGACCTGAGCAGCCACTGCTTTTTCTACTAACTGGAAGGAGAAGGACCACAATAATCTCTTCGAAGAAAGGGGGTGCCATTTAGAGCAGCAGTAATAAATGGTCCTTGTAATCGCTTGCCCCACTTGGGGAAGGAAAAAGAGTTGTGCAATAGTACAAATCGGTATTGCACTGGAGGAACCAGCAGTTGTGCAACACAGAGGGGTTGCATGGGACCTTGTAAGCATTGGACAAATCACATATGACCCTGTGCCAGGTCCTTTATGCAATACAGAGATGATACCTTAAAAGGGTGCTAGAAAGGATTTATGCAGGTACTTTTTATACCCGAAGTATTTTGTTCTTGTGTATATTAAAATCAAATGCAAGGTACTCTACACAATTCCTAGGTAAATGCAGTCTATAGATCTCTTTCAGTGAACATAAAAAGAGGAGAAATTAACAGGATTTTGGTTGCATCTTGAGCCTACAGAAAACATCGGTTGTTTTCTAGAACTCTCCCTTTCCCCCAACTTCCTGTAGCAAGGACTGGACACAAACTCTCTCCCTGTTGCAGCAGCACTGAATGACTCAGCTCCTACAAAATCTCCCTAACAAAAGGCCCAGGCAGATTGTCATTGGACCCTGAAGGATGGATGATCTAGAGAGAATGAGGAGAGAAATGTGCCTTGCATCTCATGAGGTATTAGCTACTGCTGGGTTCTTTCCTTGAAGATTGCCGTTTGTGTGGGTGTGATTGTGTGTGTTATATAATATACAGAAATATAGCTCCCATATAGCCTGAAGTGCCTGATCCTGCCTCATCTTGGAAGCTTACGCAAGGTCAGGCCTGGTTGCAACCTGGATGGGTGACTTAAATGCTGCAAACTGCCCAGAAAACTTCAGCTACAGGCAGTATAGAAATGTATTGTAGTAATAATGGTAATAACAATAAAGGGATTGCTCGATTCAGGAAGAAACAGTGCCCTGATGGAGATGGCAAACTGACCTATCCAAGGTCATTGCCAGACTATTGCACATATAGGGAGACATATCTAGAGATGCAGTCACGCTTTTTACAGTGGAAGAATAGCACATGTGGCCTACTCAAAGTAGGTCATGCTGCTTTCTCATGCAAAGCAGAAAGTATGATCAAGAGGCAGTCAATTTGTCCTGCTACCCAAAGGAGTCAAACCTAGTGGTATTCAGAAGCACTGGACTGCAGCTTGCATTATCCCCAGGCAGCTTGACCATTAGTCTGCTGGCTGAGGATTATAGAAACTATAGTCCAACATATCTGTGGATACCAGATTGAGAAAAGCTGTGGTAAATAAATGGTGAACAACCTTTAACCCTCCATATCATATTTGGCATAGATCTAGACTGAGAAGCTGTTGGAGGCTAGCTGTCTCTATAAAGAAAGAAACCAGTACTTAAACTATTCTATAATTCTTCCACTTTAGGTCCTGGTGGGAGGAAGCTACTTTCTATTTCTTAACCAAGAGGACCAAGTGTTTAGGAGAAAGCTCTCCCTTTTACTAGACATGAACAAGTACTGATTAAAACAGGTTCTAATACTGATTAATACTGATTTAATCAGATACAAGTACTGATTAAAACGCTAAGCCATGTGGCCCCAGGAAACGAAATTCCCCTCTGCTCAAAACCCAAAAGGTCCCGGGTTTCTGTCTCATTGTGAGTAAGCTATGAGAAAAAGCATCCTTGCCCTACAGGACCAATTTCTGCCCAGTTATCTGGCAATCTTTTTCTGAAGAACAAGTTCAACTTAATTCAGAGGGACTTGTTTCCGAGTAAATATGGGTAGGATGTAGCTCCACCTTCCCCATCCTTGGGCCATGCTGGCTGCAAACTGCTGTAGTCTTGCTGCCCTTAAGATGCTTTGAACTAGATCAATCCATAGCTCAAGGCTGATTGGAGTTGACGCCACATATCTCTGGCGGGCACCAGGCTGGGAAAGCCCAAGGAGCTAGGCCACCCCAGAAACGTGCGTGGCCCAGAATAACCCCTTCCTTTGTGTGGGGAAGAGAAAGCCACCACGTGGCTCAAGGCAGCGAAGGGACTGAGCTCGCACATCTCTGCATCCGGTGGTCCCTTTATCACAGGCAGGCAGCTCTCCACAGCTCCATCACCCTCAACCCTTCCTGCCAATAAACCACCAAGCTCTCGTAGGATCGTGCCCTCCACCCTCTCCCCCACCCGTGCCCGCGTCTCCCTCTCGCCCTCCATCGCCTCTCGCATCCCGCCTGCTCCCTCCTCGCGTCTCTTCACCTCTCAGCGCTTCTCCGCCGCGCTGGGCTTCCTCCTGCCCAGCCGGGCTCAGGTCTGCATCGTACCAGCCACTGAACCGGTTCTCGAGGTTCCAGGCGCTCTCGCCGTGCCGAATCAGAACCAGCCTGTACGCAGCCGCCATGTCGCGAGCGGAATGAATTGGGAGCAGTGCAGACGTGCCGGGTTCACCCTCTCACCACCTTCGTCCGACCGAAGCGGAAACTGCTCGCCCACCGCCAGGCGCATGCGCCGAAAGAATACCTCGCCCACGAGGGCTGGACGCCGGTGCTCCTGTAAGCGTCGAACAGCAGACTCAGAGACGCTTCCAGATTCCGGGTTGACTTAAGATGCTTTTGCAACCCCCCACCCCAAATTTTTCGCGAGGCGAAGCGAGAATTGTTATGATAGGGCTGCTCCAGAAGCAATGCCAATAGCCCCCGCAGCCCCCAAAGCAAAAGGTAGCCGTAAAGAGAGGGTTCGTGCTGTGATGTAGGTTGTTCCATTGGAAATATGCTGTTAAACGTGGAAAAGTTCAGCACATAAAGTCGGCGGAAAATTCTGTATGCAATTGATACTGGAATTTCGCAAAGGAGAGAAACTAGGATGGGGGGGTTAAAGAGATTTGCCTTCGCTGCAAACAAGGGGAGTTCTCTGGAGAGATTTTTGTTAGAGTCCCAAATCCACTTTTAAACTACAGTATTAATAGTACCCTACATTGCAGGACTGTCTGCTGCCAAGTTCTGTGAAACATATTCCCCCCAGCATACACATGTTCTAAAGGATCATGGCTGGCTGGCTGGCTGGCAGAGCGTTTTTAAAAAGGGGATTTTAATTTTTGCCTTTGCTTTCATCTTTTATTTCACAGTTTCGTCATTAATTTCTACGGACCGCTTTCGTTTCCACCCGAGGGAAAAACAGAATAGCTTCACAAGGAACCAGGAAGTTCCATCTCGAGCTATTTACATTGTGATTCTACAATAGTTCAATCTCTACGGGCGACTCCGAGCCTCTAAAAACCCACCCTCCGAATTCAGCCTTTGCTGTGCGCATGCCCTACTCTCTTCGGCTTGGCCGGCTATGCCTCAAGCCAGAATTCATACGTGCAGTTTGGACGAGGGGCTATGACGGCTTTGCGCATGCGCTCAGGAGCAGCGGTCCGGTCGTACCCGGAGGCACGGAGCTCACGCAGAGCACGCGTAGAGCTGCGTGACCCTCCGGGGGGGGGGGGAGCCACCCTCGCAACGTGTCTGGGCGTCCCCAGCGAGTCCCACTTTTCATATTCACTCGGAACTGAAACAGCCTAATTAATACATAATTTTCAAGAGATGCACAACATGCGGCAAGAGGGCAGATCCCTAAGGAATTACAGGGAGGGGAATGATGCCACTTCGGAGCCAGGCGCCTGATGGGATTCAGTCCGAGCGCGTGCAGCTGCATGAAGTGGAAACTGTGGAACAGCCGCATGGCAGCACACCCGTAGCTATGACAAACGTTAGCTTTCTGTGCCGGGGAAGCAACGCGGCCGCCTTAACCCCCAGCACTCGTGACACTGACTGGTACTGATGGAAATTGTAGTGCAAAAGATCTGAATGCCACAAGGTTGCCTGCCTCTGCAACATACGGATGAAATTGAGGAGGCAGTTCAATACAGTTAGCAAAATACAAAGTTAAAGCTTCTTTCTATACTGTATCAATTTAGGCTTCAGAGTATTGCCTGCTTGAAGTATCTCCCCTGGAAAAAAATTCCCTGCCCCTAGAAAGCTAGAATGCCAGAAATAAGAGTTGTGCTTTACCATCCTCTTGCATTGTTTTAAAAGAGCAGGGAGTCCCCCACCTGGAGCAAAGAAACATCCAACACCCCTGCCCCCACACTAATTAAGTGATACTGTAGTGCTTTATTCGATTCTGGTGCTGCCTGTCCTGGTGTTCCCAAAGCCATTTGTCACCTAGATTCAAGAACTGCTCATGGATACACCATCTCTAATAAGACTGGGCAGCTTGTGAAAAGTTTACCTAGGTAGTGTTTGCCAGGTGGCCATGAAATTGTTTTTCATGGTGTACTTTACTGGGATGCTACACAATCCTTTCTGAAGAATCCACCTGAATCCAATTTTTTAAAAAATCCACACTGGGTTGCCAAATACCTGATTATCATACAAAATTAATGTCCACATTTATGAAGATTGTATCTGCCAGCACTTCCAAACGCATTTTTACACTCTTCACATTGCATTGTATTGTTCTCATTTTGACCCAGAAAGCAAAATGTAGCACTTTCTGTGCTACACTTTGAAAAAGTATTGCTTGCTCATCACCACACAATTCTGTACTGGGAAGGAATTTGAACACATGCCAAGATTTAGTCCTGCATTCTATCCATTGAAGCATGATACACCACCCTTTGGTACCTCTAATCCACCAAATCCTCATGTGAACTATCTTCTCTCTGCCTTCCTGCCCCACTCCAATTTGAGGCTGTAATCCCATACCTGCATACCTAGGATAAGTCAATGATAGACCTGCTGGGGAGGATTGACGGTAAAAGGAGAAGGGGATGGCAGAGGATGAGGTGGCTAGGTGGAGTCACTGGGGCAGTGCGTGTGGGCTTGGGTGGACTCCCAGGGATGGTGGAGGACTGGAGAGCCTGGAGGAATGTTGTCCATGGGTCATGATGGGTCAGACACAACTTCTTGACTAAACAACAACAAAGACATGCATAGTAATTGGCCTACGCTGTGTAAGAAATACTTCCAGTAAAGTCTTGCTTATTATTGCATGTTTACTCAGAAGTAAATTTTATTTTGTTTACTGGGGCTTAGTCTGAGGTAAATATGCACAGGGTTCTAATCAATTCTAGATCCACTCATTAGGGGAGCAAACTTCAAGGAATAGGTTACAATGAAATCCTGTGTATGTTTACCCAGAAGTAATTTTCAAACAATTCAATGGCTCTTACTCCTACATTATTGTGTCTAACAAGGTGAGCACATGTGGAACTTGGAGAGAACATCAGGAGTACTCTTTCAAAATGATTGTCTTGGAAAGCTTGTCCAATCATAAAATGATTAGCATGACCAGTCACAAAGCACTAATTTCCCAGAAGACAATCTGGTGAGACTGAGAAAAAATAACTTGCTCTAGAATTTAAATCCGAGACAGAGAGGTGAGATCTGAGCTCTAAACCTGCACAGCACTCTTTTGAACCTAAATGAAGATGGTGCTGAAGGGCAGTATCTTGCTTTACAGCATGCCAGCCTCTTATTTTTACATAAAAAACACACCTTCCATATATTAGCCAGCTACAAGGAGCTGTTTTTATCCCAGAAAGAGCATCCATAGCAAGGGTAGGAAACTTCCACAGGGCTGAGCTAAAAGAACTTGGAAACTGAAGAGTGGTACTTAAGTCATGCTCTTTTCCTCTTTCCTTCCAATCCTGTTTTCTTTTGTGTCATGCTATTTAGATTGCAATTATTAACCTCAGTAAACTGCTCTGATAGCCTTGCTGTTCCCTCCAAATTGGCTGTGCAGCAGCATATCAAAGAACAGCATCACAACGCTGTATCCTCAGAACTAAGTCTCACTGAATTCAATAAGGGTTTCTTCACAAGTCAGGCAGTATGAATTTGCATTTGTAGTTCTGATTGTAACAAAATAAGTTACACTGAGGTTGTTGCTGTTTTGTGCCATCAAGTCGTCTTTGAATGAATGCGCTCCTTTTCAGTCCTGCTTCGTTCCGGTAAACTCAAGGCTATTGCTTCCATTACGTTTATATACCGTGGACCTATTACTAAGCTATCTCCTGCCAATCTTCTTCAATTACCTTTCAAAAGATGTTGCATTCCAGCAGTTGAAGGAGCGGCCTAATCCAATAAACAACAGAGCTTTGCTCTTTAGAATAGTTATTTCAAGTTACTTTACTGCTGCCTACATTAGGTACATCCCGATCCGCATATAGAAGACGAAGTAGAAACCGGAAGTGGATATGCCTTCTACATCTTTAGGCGTCCAAGAAGACCGGAAGTTGAAGTGCTGCACGGAAGTGGTTAACCGGAACTACTTTGCAAAGAGGGTCAGAGTAGAAGCTTGCACGTGGGTTTCTTGTGATCCGGGCTCGGCACAGAATGGGCCGTTCGGGCAAACTGCGCTCTGGCTCTGCCAGCAAGCTCAAGCGTTGGCGCAAGGGACACAGCAGTGACAGCAATCCGGAGGGACGACGCTATCGCCTCGCTGCCCGTGGTCGTTTGCTCGCTCCCCGGTCGGGTAGGTGCTGCCGAGCGAAGCGAAAAACGTTGGAGAAACGGTCCGAATAGTACACGCATGGGGCTGAATGGAAAGGGCTCGAAGGAAGTCCTAGAGGGAAGGTCCCTTGCGGTGGGGAATCATCCAGGGTTGAGGACTGAGAGGCCTTGGGCAAGACGTCCTCAGCGAGTCTCCCTTATCATCGCTTTTCTCCCTAGCTGCTCTTGCTCTTCATCCTCTTTCATCGTTGCTGCCCTTTGCTTGCTTGACAGACTGAGAGCAAGGGAGGGAGGGAGGGAGGGGTATAGACTGTTCCTCTTTCTCGTCACCTCCGTTGTTTGGACCAGAATGAGAAGCAAGTAAACAAGTAGCTTGCAGTGGTGAAGAGGAGAAGCAGCTCCAGGAGGTTTTTGTCAGTGGACTTCTGCTAGGGCGTGGACCCTAGGAAGGTGCACAAACATACTTAGTGTTGTTGGCCCTGTTAAGAAAAAGCATATTAAGGTGGTGAAAATTACTCAGTTTTGTTGGTTTATTGTATGGTGCTGACCCTTGGCTTTAAACATAGATTTTGTTGTTTATTCGGGCAGAGTCCTTAGTGCAGCTGAGAACACTGAACCAGTGCCTACTCTGGTTCAGAACACAACAGTTCAAATAGGAGAAAGCAGAAAGTAGATCTCTTTTCCTAACAAAAATCATGAATTTCAATCTAAACCAAAGCATATTTTCCTATGGTTGAATGATTTCTGCCTGTACAAGTTGTTGTTTTTTAATTAACACACTGTGTGTAAGCAAAACATTTTGCACAGTGCGTTTTTGCAAAAAACAAAGGGTAAGGTTTGTATCTGTGATGCCTCAATCCCAAGTCAATGGAGGTAGATCTTCCTTGGGAGGAGGTGGACCTAGCTAGGCCCAATATTTATTTATTTATTTTAATTCTTACACTGCTCAGTAACCGAGGCTTTCTGGGTGGTTAACAAAAGTTAAAATTAAACAAAAGTTACACACACGTGCCTGCACACAAATTTAAAGGAGCAAAACCATAACTGCAGGTGTTATTATTCAGTGCAGAAGCATAGCGGCAGCACAGAATAAAATGAGATATATAAAAACAAACTTTGAAAATTAGAGCATTAAAATGCTTGGAAAATAAAAAAGGTCTTCACCTGGTGCCAAAAAAAATGCAAAATAGGCACCAGGCACACCTCTTTGGAAAGCTCATTCCAAAACCAGAGAGCCACAACCAAAACAAGATCTTCCTCCTGGTAGCCAACCACCTCATTTCCTTTGAAAGGGGCTTCCAGGGAAGGACTCGCAGAGATTGCCTCATGTTCCAGGTAGGGGAGGAGGCAGTCCTTCAGATAACCGGGCCCACAAATTGTTTAATGCTTTGAATGTTAGTGTTAATGCTTTGAATTGGGCCTGGACTTTGGTTGACAGCTGGTGTAGCTGGAAAGGGACTGGCATAATGTGTTTTCCTGAGTCAATCCCCATTAACTGACTTGCCTCCAAAACTTTGGAACAGTTGAAGTTTTCAGACCATTTTCAAAGGTTGTCCCATGTACACCACATTGCCATAATCCAAACGAGCAGATACCAGAGCATAGATAATGTAACTAAACTGTCTTTGTCCAGATAGGGTCATAGTTGTTATATCAGTTTAGGCTGATAAAAGGTGCTCCGTGCCACAGGGTCCACTTATGCCTAAAGTAACAACTCTGGGTTCAGGAACCTCCCAAGCTATGGAGTGCACTCCCATCCAGAACAGGTTGAGTATCACCCAGCTGGACAGATGAACCACCCACTAGCAGCACCTCCATCTTGTCGGGATTGAATCTTAGTTTATTGGCCCTCATCCAATCTTTTACCACTACAATATGGACACAAGCTTGAGGGAGATCTATGAAAAGGTGTCTGTCTTCAGTCAGAATTTATTGACTGCTTATTTTTCTCTAATAGAAAACAGTACATTGACTGTGGATGCTCTGAAACTGCACAATGAACTACAGTCATCAGGACCACTGCCCTCCCTACGGGATGGAGGGGAGCCAGAGGCCTGTATGGAAGAGTTTGACAACGCGGAAACTGCTAAGTCCCGTAAATCTTCAGCCACTTTCCTGAGTGGCTTGAGTGATTGCACCAACCTCACCTTTAGCAGAGTGCAGCGTTTCTGGGAATCCAATTCTGCTGCCCACAAGGAGGTACTTAAAAGGCCAGCTCTTACAAAGTGATAGAATGCAAGTCAGGACAAGTCAGTTTGGTTGAGAAGAAGCCGAAGAGAGATGCAGAGAAGAAAGAGGACAGACATCAGAAAAAAGAAATGGAATTTATTTATTTGTGATATTTATAAGCCGTCCTATTGCAAAAACCTCAGGACGGAGGCTTTAAGCAATAAATCTAATAGAGGGAATGAATGATGACAAAAACTGCTATTTGTATAGCATTAGTCAAAGTGACGTACAGCTGTTGAACATAACCAGGATAGTATGTGCGGTGTTGTTAATTGATTGGTTTTCTGTCCTTAATTTGTAAGAATAAAAAATAATTGTTAGATTTGAGAGGGATGGCTAGTCTGCCTCTTCTCATTCATAGTTGAGAACTGTGTGTGTTGCATTCTGTGTTATGAACAGGAGCGAGACACCCTTAACTAAGGCAATCTTGCAGCACATAAGGAATTGTCAGCAGTATGAGCCTGGGAATTCTTGATATACTCTTTTTCTCTCCTAACTTCTCTGTGCCACCTTGGCTGTTTAATTTTCTTTTGAGGAAAATATGGAAATGCTATACAACTTTGGAATTTAAAGCAACATTTGAAAAGCTAATGTTGAAAAATGTTCCAGAAAGTGAAAGGAGTCTGAGCTACCCACAACCTTCTTCTCCCCAACATTCAGAAACAGTTCTCCTGCTCTCATATCCACACAAAAGATGCAGAAAGTCCAGCTCAGAATGTGGGGGGTAGCAGATGAGCAATAGCTGCACTAACAGACCAGTAATCATATCAGCCAGTGAGGATGGGTGGAAATTAACTTTCTTTCCCTAAACCAAATCCATTTTATTAAAAATTGTAACAACTGCCAAATCATAATTCATGTCCCTCTAGTTATTTAATATATAACTGGTACAATTATGCTACTGATACTAAATCGCAGAGTTGGTGGAAATATTCTTTCAGGAATATTCTTGGAGAAGGATACAATGTTCTTGAGGAATGAAATATATGAGGACAAGTATAATGATCAAAGAAGGGCGAAGTATGCAGTTCCTGCTCTTTTGCGTTTGTAGAGCAGAAGCCAATACAAGGTGGTATATGGAGAAGGAATGTTCAAGGAGAGAAGTCAGTTGGTGACAGCTGGAGGGGCAGCTTCAGAGAAGGAGCCGAAGAGATTGAGGTGAAGCTGAGTTAGGAAAGTAGAAAAGAGAACGGAATCAAGGCATCAGAAAGCAGAAGTAATAGACACACCACAGTGGAACTTATATTCTGAAGCAACGGTGACAGAAACTGCTGCTTAGCTAGCAACACTTACCTGGTTGCTGCATAACCAACCGTGGAGTGGAGAATTGGAGTTTTGCTTGTTTATTCATTGACTGTAATAACATTGAATAATTTCTATTAGGAAGTATTGTTCATATTCATTAGCCTCTGGAGTAATGGTGAATCTGTCACTCTTCACCCCAATAGAAGACAGTGTGCATTGCACTTTGACTCTAGGAGAGGAAAGAATAGGAATTGAACTGTCTTTTGCATCTTAGCTTTGGTATTTTCCTTGGAGGGCCCTTTTTTCCTCCCAGCATTTGTAGGCAGTGTGTATTGTGGGCAAGCAATACTTACGGGTGGGTGTCAATGAATCGGGTGTCTTGAGCTCCCAACTCTTACTCTCTGCTTCTTTACAGATATGTGCTGTGTTGGCTGCTGTCACAGAGGTGATCCGAGCACAGGGTGGTGCTGAGAGCGAGACAGAGTATTATGGTGCACTGGTAAGCATCACAGGAAATGGGGCAGGCAGAGCTGCCTGGAAGTTTTAAAATCCTAATACGTACAGTGGAGTATGGCTAACAGCAACTGCTGTGGTCACAGTGCCTGGCAGTAATCCCAAGTAAAACCTCAAATACTTGCATCAGTAATGGGGAGAAGAGTTTTCCTTCCATGAAGAGAATATGCAAACTTTGTTAGTCTTTCATGCAAGTAGGGGTGATGCAGCAGGATGCTCTGGCCTCTGTCATATTGCCGAGACAGGCAAAAATATTGTGGTTTGTGTTGTGTGTAAAACTCCATGCAGCTGTTTGACTGCTCACAAAAGAACTGAAGGAGCTATCAGCTCAGCAGAATTCCTATGCATTAGACAAGTGCTTAACAGGCAGCCAGGTAGCAGGTGAAATATCCCCCAAGGCACCAGTTCTGTGTTAGCAACACCATCACCTTTTATATAACTACCAATCATGGAACTTGCAAAGGTATGGGAGCCTGCCTGGAACAGGCAAGTTGCTATCCACACAGAGCAGGTATAAGTAATCCAGTGTCCTCCAGGTGATTTGCAGTACTATTTCCATAATCTCTAATCATTGGCATGCTGGCTGGGGCTTATGGGAATTATGCTCCAACATGTGTGGGGGGCGGCACTGGGTTGCCTACTCCTATAATTGCTGAAAGCAACCTGGTCACGGCTGCTGCTTGTAGGCTGCACCGAATGAAAGTGTGGGGATGGCTCTTGCACCCACGAGACATGAGGGAGGACTGCTGTAAGGAGGAATGGTCTGTGTAGGAGTCTATGTATAATGGATGCCTCTTTCCTTTGTGTCCTTGTGTGAGCTGCTCTGCCTGGCACCTCTGTTTGTAGGATGTTTCTGCCTGGAGTTTAAAGGCAAAATACCTGCAAGAAGAGGTGGGGAATCTGCCATTCTGGATGATCAGCTGTGACTTTCACCCCTGATCTTTGGCCTTCCTGGTTTGGACTGATGGAAGACAATGTGCGCCAACATTTGGAAGCCCCCCGATTCCCCCCCCCCAAGGGTTCTCTGCAGAGAGGTGTCAGCACTGTGCTCAGGCTTCCTTGCGTGCTCTGGAGACAGCCTGTCGCATGCACAGTGCCCCTTCCCCAAGAGGTCCACCACAGATCTGCGTCCAGTCACAGCATGCTACCAGGAGAACAACCCAAGCGACTGGTTGCATGGCCTGGGGCAGCTCCCTCTCTGGCCACAGGGCACACACAGTTACCGTGCACAGTGGTGAACCCTAGTAAGCTCCAGAGCTTTTCCTCGTGCACTGTGTGTCTGACTCGAGGCCGGAGGCAGTCACTTCATGCCGTGCACCCTGCCATGGCTGTATTTGCTCCCCTTGGGGGATTACATACTGGTGGTGGCAATATGCTGCAATTGGGTGTTGACTGGTACCATATCCGGTATTGCACTGTGGTGGCCTCAGTGAGGCAGGAGTGGCTCTTTTTAAAAGAATATGATATGAAGTACTTCCCTAGTGCTGGTGTTTTGAGAGAGAGATGGTCATAGTCAAAGTGTAGGATACCGTGTGTACATGTTTCTCCCCCAATCCAGTCAGGCTATTCCTCTGGTGCCTTCTCATAATAAAGCAGCTGTATTGGTTTACATACAGTAGTGGGGCTCCAGCCATATCCTATAGGTCCTTATCTGGTTTATCTTCAGTACAGGATGCTGCAATGTATAACACTGAATCAGCAGGTAAAATTGGCATAACCCCCTGTTGCTTTAGAACTAAAAGGCCTAGGGGAATAAAAAGCATGTGGTAGTGGAGCAGGAGCAAAGTGAGCTTCCCTCGGTAAAGCATTCCTTGTACAGGCAGCCAGCACCAGAAGCCCCTGTCCCTACTTACTACTGCTGTGCCTTCCTTGGGGATGAGGTAGGAAGGCACCTGGTGAAGTCATTCTGATAATATTAGCATATGGAACGGGTGTGAAGGTAAGTGATCCTTCAGATTCAAGATAAAGTCCCAGAAGTCTCCAGCCTCCTCTCTGATTGCTTTGCTCTGCTATACTGCATCTCCTTAGATGACTACTCTGGAAGCTGTGGAATCACCAGAATCCCTCGCTGCCGTTTCTTATCTGCTGAATTTGGTGCTGAAGCGGTGAGTCCTAAGAAACATGCAAAGAATATTCCTGGTCTAGACTGGTGGCCCAGCTCAGGGTGTAGGGGTGCACAAGCTACAGCCCCCCAAGACCTTAGGTGCTGGCTGTACCTGCACCTGCAAATCACTTCTGCAGTTCTCTCAGACTGCTGTTCCTTGCTGCCAGCAGCAGCAGCAAGTAAACAGTGATCTATACCAAGATCACTGGTGGGTGGCGTGCGTGTGCTCGTGCACATGGGTGCCTGCGGCCCTTGAGCCAGGACTGCGTGGGGCACTTGAGGCTGAAAGGGTTGTGCATCTCTGGTTTAGAACAACTGGAGATGCAAACCTAACAGTCCATGTTGTAATGACTATGATCTGACCTTGGAAAGAGGATGAAGCTATCAATTGCAGTTGGTCCCCCTGTAAATCTATTTACACACTTGAATATAACCATATATTTCTGGCAATGAGTCAGCAAGATAAATGTGCTTGCTTTTCGGTGAGTGGGTGTGTATGATTTTTGATTACCATGTTTAGGTGTTCTTCTGGAAGAAAGCATGGAACTGATGAGCCATTTGTTGCAAAACTCTGACCATTGTAGCTGCTCCAGTATATAGTTTCCATTGTACTTCTGTTTAGATGGGATGGCTGGAGCTTCCCAGGGTGATCCAACTATGGATATCCCTTGTCTGGTGAAGAACAGTTGTGCCAGTGATAAATTGTGAGGGCTGGCCAGATCTTTAATGGCCACTGTGTCTCTCAGAAGCAGAGTGGGTAACTGAGAGGGTAGACATGTTTGGTGCCACCGACTGAGCCTAGCTGCAAACAAGGTCTAGGAAGCAAAGAATGGAGGGTGGGTTGCTGTTGCTTTTCCTTTACATTGATGTTCCCATCTCCCATGTCACCCTCCCTGCCCAAATAGGGTACCAAGCCCGGTGCTGATCAAGAAGTTTTCTGATACTTCCAGAGTGTTTATGGGTATTCTAGGCTCACAAGCATGTGGAGACTCCACCTCAGCCCTGCGCTGGGTAAGTGTTTCAGGAGGTCGGGCTCAAGATTCCTTAAGTGTGGAGCCGGTGTATCTAATGGGACACTTTCTCAAACGTGCTGTGCAAGTGGAGAAGGCTGATGTCTGTTTTATTTATTTATTTTATTTATTAAAACATTTTTATGCCGCCCCATTCGCCAAAGCCTCGGGGTGGCTTACAACATGTTGTTCAAGAGACCATTGGCCTGACCTAAAAAAAAAAAACCGCATGGAGGAAAGCAGAGTAGAATCAATCCTATCCTATGCAATTCAGGTTGATGCATTTCACTTAAATGTATAGTTCAGCCTTTCCCATTCTGTTGCCCTCCACAAGTGTTCTAGCACTTTTGATGATTGGCCAAATTGGTGAGGGCTGATAAGAATTGAAGTCCAATATATTTGGAGGACATCTGGTTAGGGAAGCCTCATCTAGGGGGATGTGTTGGCACTTTATGGTGCCAAATATTTCAGTAATGAAAATGGAAGGTTCTTTGCTCTCTCTGACAGGGATGTTTTATTTCATTTCCACTGTGTATTGGAACTCAGCTAGGTTTGAAAGTGCAGAGCCTACCATTTTTTGGCCTTTTTCCTTCAGGTGGTTTCCTGCTTAGCCACTTTGTTGCGAAGACAGAATCTGGTAGCCTGGAGCTACCCTGTGACAATGCAAGTTTTCCATGGCCTTCTCAGCTTTACTGTCCATGCCAAGCCCAAGGTGAGTCATTGAGATGCTGGTTCACATTCCCTTCTGTGTTCTGCATATGGACAACATCCATGCAACCAGGCACATCTATGAGAACCTGTTGTTAAATGTATGTTCTGTCTTTCCATTTGAAATATGTAAGGTTGCTAATGAGATATACCTACATCTAATGGCTTGGAGTTGGTCATACATCTCACTGCTGTCTCCTATCTCAGTGGTTTTCAACCTCTGGTCCACTAGCATTTTCTGCTGGTCCGCGAAAGAGCCACTGTCATGTGTGCAGGACATTTTGCTTGCCAGGACCAGTGCGGGGCTAGCTGTGCTCTCCCTGCCGATTCCCCAGGGGAGGGGAGAGACAGCTCAATAGGAGCCAGCTGGGAGACTGGGCCTTTTCCTTTTTCTGCTGTGTTTTCTGCTGGTAAGGGAAATGTTGAGGTGCGGTTGTGCTGAGTGTGTTTTCTCAACCAGTCTGTGCTGTGTGTATGGGGGTTTGAGTGGGTGAGGTTCGTTGTATTTCATTATTTAACATTATGAACAGTATTGTATTAAGAAACATAGTTTGATTTTATATTGCTTTGCTGTTACTATTGTATCTGAATTTGTATTGGCTATGAGTGTAGTATTACATTTATATTGATTTTGTATTTTGCTATTGTAAATTTTTGATCAAATATTCTTGAAAAGCAGCAGGGGATGGGGATGAGGATAAGCACGGTAGCCTTATTTGAATTACATATTGCTCTCTTAAAATTTCAGTTGTACTTGATTACTTTTAATTTCATTGTTTTATTCTTTTATTAGCATTTTTACTGCTCAGTTTCTGGTCATTTTAGAGAATTTTCATTTTTGGGTACTATATTTAAAAACTATACACAAAATGCTATATTATATATAGAATGGTTTTTATTTCTGCCTCAGTGGTCCCCGAAATAACTTTCCTATTTTTCCGGTCCCCAACTATAAAAAGGTTGAAAACCACTGTTCTATCCTTCTTCCTTGTAGGTCCGCAAGGCTGCTCAGCATGGTGTTTGCTCCATCCTCAGAGGGAGTGAATTCCTATTTGGAGATGAGGCTCCTTCACATCACCCGGCCTCATCTTCTGCTGCCAAGTTCTGTGTGCAAGAGATCGAGAAAACTGGAGGTGCAGGGGATGGGGATGAGGAATTCATAGGATAAGAAATGGTTTTAGTGTGGAGAGCAGATGTCCACAATATTTTGCCACTTCTATTTTGTATTTCACTTTTTATTATGTTTGTATCCCACCTGCAATGTGTCTGTGTGGCTTACACAGTGTTCCTTCTCTCTATTGTATCGCTAGCCTGACTTTTTTCCTTCAAGGAATCCAAGGCTGCTTATATAATCCTCCTCCTCCTCCTCCTCCTCCTCTCAGTTGTAAACCCTCAACAACCCTGTGTGCTCTGTTAGGCTGAGAGTCAGTGGCTAGTCCAAAGGCACCTGGTGTGCTTCTTGGCTGAGTGGGGACTAGAACCTGGATTTCCTGGATTCCAGTCTGACACTCTTACCACTATGCCACCCTGGCTGTTCAGAAATCTAAGTGTTGACCAAGAGTTTCTTCTTTCTTCATCAAAAACATATTATGAATGGGTCTCCATCTCTTAACCGTGTATCTTACTGAAACTGTTCAAACAGAAGCTTAGGTATCACTAAGTTTGCATGACTGACCTAGGATATGGGCACACCAGTTAAACCTTATAAAGTGCAACACTTTGTGATCAACCAGACTAACTTGGATTACATAGGTCAGGAGTTCTTAAACATTTTGGGATCTGTGTACATATTTAATGCATACATTAAAGCAAAGAAATCTGCACCACCACACAATGACTGCTGTGAGGAGATAACTAGGCATAAAGGACAGATAACTTGCCCAAGAAACCTGCGTGCAAGGTCTGAGCCCCAAATTTAAGAGAATATTTTTTGCTGCACATAGGACACAGAAGGTAAACTGCTGAGGCTCAGGGACCAGTGACTTGCCCAATAACGCAAGTGCAGGTTATGTGCGATGTCCCAAAACACAAAATCATCCCTTTGTTCCTCCTCCAACAGGACGTGTATTTCACAAGCTTTGAGCCCATTCATTTTCTCTCAACCCTCCTACCCAGAGCTGGGTAAAGAAATGTTGCTGCCTCCCCTCCAGGCTCTCTGCTCCCCACCCCTGGGACACCACCCATACAAACACCCTTTATTTCTCAGGATCACCTTAAACGCTTTCCTCCTCAAACAAAACCTGAAGGTGCCTAAGCACAGGGTTAGCCTACATTCTACCCACTTGGCCTCTCAATTTTCCCAATGTGCTTGGAGAACTTAAGATGGTGGGCTGTGGGGGCTTTTGCAGCATGTGAGGGGCTTTTGCAGCATGAATTTTGTAGCATGTCCAAGCCACTCTTTAAAAAAAGAGAATGTTGCCCGGAATAAGATCATGCATTCCAGAGCAGGGCTGCCTGGCACCATACTAGGGAAGCCTGGCCAAGATAGTATTTTGAGTTTATATTTTTAGCACCTGGTGAAAAAAAAGGATTTTCTGTGACCTCTTAATTGTTTCATTCCCTCTGGAAAAACTGATTTTATACATTATTTTTAAAGTGGCTTTGCAATCTTTTGTTTGACCTAACAAAAATTACATTAGTACAGATTTTGTGTATCTTGTATTTCTAAGCTGACCTGGGGAAAAAGTCTTCCTGAAGGGTGGACTCTAACTTTAAGAAGCAACCCCCTCCAAATCCACTGTGTTGTGAAGGTCGCATCACTGATTCTGTCTGGCTCCCCAGGTGCTAAAGAGGCCACCACCACCTTGCACATGCTCAGTTTACTGCGTGACTTGCTGCCCTGCCTGCCAGCCCCATCTGTCAAGTCCTGCTGTGAGACTTTGCTTCGGGTGATGACCCTCAGCCACGTGGTGAGTTCCCCTCCATCTGCTCTGTGGTGCTCCATTTGCTTTGGCAAACCTACACAGCCCAGCTGGAGGGCCAGAGAGCTCTTGTGGGAGTGATGGAGCATGCCTGACTTTTGGGATGAGGGCCTCTCTCATTGATGGAAAATACTGAGGAAGGAGCTTTGGGTGGCCATGTTTGGCTTCTTGGATTTGCAGGATGGGAGCAAGGAGAGGGGACGGCAGAACTGCCTAATGCACAAAAAGGACTCTTGATTTTTACACACCTTTTTTCTCACCTTCCTAGCTAGTAACAGCATGTGCTATGAAAGCTTTTCACAGCCTCTTTGCTGCCCAGCCGGCCCCCTGCAACCTGCCAGCAGAGCTCAATGCCCAGATTATCGTGGTGAGTATTACAGGAGTCAGACCAGGGAAGGGTGGAGGGCACAGCTGTGGATGCTGACGAAGGGATCCTTGTTCTCTTCCACCAGGCACTCTATGATTACATACCCAGTGAAAGTGACCTACAGCCTTTGTCAGCCTGGCTCGTTGTCATGGAGCAGGCGCATGTCAACTTGGCCAAGTAAGGACTAATGCCTGGGATAGCAGTGGTAAAGTTCATGTGTGAAGGGTGTCTTTTCCACCAGTGATCCCCATCAACACCTTTCTCCATTGCAGGCTGCAGTGGGATCTGTGCTGGGCTCACCTGTCCCGACTCTTCAGTGCAGTTGTGAATTGTTTCCTTTCTCCTCACACCCAGGTGGTGTCTGCTGCTGCCCAGACCCTAAAGGTGCTGTGCTGTCTTTTTTCCTGACCTGTCCAGTTCAAAGCTGGCAAGAGCTGTGCTTCAGGGCGCTAAAGAATGGTTGGACATTTCAGTGCAAGATAGCTGTTTTATTTCTGTAAAATAAATTTGGCCCCACTCCTCAGCCAAAACGGCTTCTGGAGTGGCTCGCATGCAGACAGTAAAGCAAAACAGTTTTGTCCACACACTTGCTAGCTAGAAATATGCAAGAGAAGATGGAGTGGAATAATCCTGCTCTGCACCCCCTGCTCATGCTGACAGCTGAGGGTAGAGGGCAATATGTGCTCCCCTGCTCTTCCTCATGTATTGTAGCCACCTTCTGTGCACTTCTGTCTTGTAGGGTGTGTGGGTTGGTGCTCATGCCAGGTGTGTGTCTTTCCGTCTTGCAGGTCTTGCTCAATGAGTGTGTGGCCCCTCACGTTGCAGAACTGGGACTGGTTTCCTCAGCAGCCCCCTCGGGACCTGCTGCTCATGTCTGCAAGATGTTCAGGTGAATGAAGCAGCTGCCTGGGTTGGAGGGGGCAAGCCTGGCTTGTCTTGCAGCCACCCCTTTTTATTACCACGTCTTGCTATTTTCTTTTCTTGCAGAGCAGTGGAAGAGGGCCTGACTTACCGCTTCCATGCGGCATGGGCCTCTGTGTTGCAGGTGCTAAGGGCTTTCTTTGAAGCCTGTGGCCGGCAGTGTCATCCCATCATGCATAAGGTAAAGGAGCTGCTTTTGCAATTGAGGAATACCCCACAGGAGGATAGCGGGGTATTCCCAAGCCTCCATCCCAGTGAATTGAATATTTGGATGTTGGGTCCTGTAGCTACTGATCACTAGCTCCTGGGTCAGGTGGCCGGTGGTTCGGGGAGGGGGGATTGGAGCCAGTGTATTCTGCAGTACTTTCTAGAGCATATGCACGATGGTTGATAAGTCTCTCTTTTGCTTGTTTGCTGTTTTCCCTTCTGCTGCAGTGTCTGCGGTCCCTCGCTGACCTGCGTAGCTCCCCACACTTTGCCTACAATGTGTTGCTGGACCAGGCTCTGGGGGCTGCAATAGCCACTATGGGCCCTGAGGTGGTGCTGCAGGCAGTGCCCCTAGACATTGATGGCACAGAGTAAGTATGATGGTTCTTTCCCTATACCTGCACCCTTTCCTCTTTCTAATCTAAGCAGTGGGTAAAGGCCACTGGTTCTGAAGCACCTAATTCCCCATATGTATACTTAAGCAGGGGTCCACAAATGACCTTGCTACTAGGAAGTAGTTTTTAAAAGGTAGCAAGAGGATGGTGACCCTTCTTATTGTACTGTCTTTGTAAAGGCTTTGAAAGTAGCGAGATGACTTGCTGCTTTCCAGGGCTCCGCTAAGCAGGGACAAGCTCTTGCTGCCCCCTGCCAAGCTTGGGAGATAAGGAGGCAAGTGGGGGACCATCTAGTAGTCACACAAGGTGCCTGCTGCACTTGGAGCCCCTCTGATGCCCAGCATAATGTTGGAGGCAAGATTGTGCCATTGCCCTGGGGCAGCGTTCCCCAACCATGGAACCTTCAAGATGTTCTAAGCTGCAGACTCCAACATTTCTAACCATCAACCATGCAGGCTGGGTCTGCTGTCGGTCCAGAAATCTGGAGTGTACCAAGTTGGAGAAGCCTGTAAGAAGGAGCAGGATTGGTGATGAGCACAGACCTTTGGTGGCTTTCAGCCAAAGCAGACTAACCTTTGTGTGGAACGGGATATTTAAAATCCTGTCCCTTTACCCACTGTCTTTTGTGCGTGGCCTTGCAAGGGATATTGGCAGGGAGCATCCAGTGGTTGCTTAGCACTACTCAGCATCTAGATAGGGTAGAAACGTAGCTGGACAAGCATTGTACCAAGTGCCATATGGAATTCTGAATTTTCCTACTATCTCTGTAAATTCAGATTAGTGCTTCATGTTGCAAGCCACTGTTTGGAAGAGGGCGAGCTAGAAATGGCTCTTGGTGAAAAGCGATTGAATCTCCCTATGCCATTCTGTTGGATGCTCCCAAACTAGGAATTCTTGGGCATGCTTGAGGTTTTCACAGTTCTACTGTCTTAAAGCATTACCACTACTGAAAAGATAAAGCATTGGGAAAACCACATGAGCACCAAAACTCAACACATCCAATAGCAGTGCTTCCTAAGCCCCTTTGCTTGTATCATATTGTTCTCTCTCCTACTCCCCTTTTCACCACCCTATCTAGGGAGATGCTTGATTTTCCTCGCAGTTGGCTCCTTCCTGTGCTCCGAGACAACATCCGACATGCACCTCTTGCCTTCTTCTCCAGTTATTTCCTGCCACTGGCTGTTACTCTAAAAAACAGAGGTAACTGAGAGTACAAGTAGAGCAAGTGCATAACACCTGTGAGCAGGCCTAAGTTGCTGACTCTAAAGAGGCATGACAAGAGCTGCCATCTTTTAGCCAGAGGAGATGCCACCTGAAGAATCCATCAGAAAATTTACCTTGCTGTATTTTAGAAATGAAAAAGATGCTAGGTTCTGGCCGGACATGCGCAATCTGCTCTCCCGTGTAGTGGAATATGAAAGTATTTCCTTATATTCTGATGGGGTATTGCATGGCATGCAACTCCCAGGCTCCCCAGTCTCAATTCTTTCCCTGTAATAACCTCTTCTTTCTTTTGTGCAGCCACAGAGCTTGCCCAAGCAGGGCGGGACTTAGAAGCCAAGATCTATGACACACTACAGTGGCAGGTGAGGACTCTGTTCCCACATTCCAAGTCTGGCTTCGGGTCTTTTCTGCAGCTGTGGTGGGGATCTCACCACATGTGTGGGTAACAGTGACAGCCCTCTTCTGTTCTCCATTTTTCAGATCTGGACTCTGCTGCCTGGTTTTTGTAGCCATCCCACAGATGTGGTGCCTTCATTCAAAGGACTGGCACGCACCCTGGGCATGGCTATTACTGACCATTCTGATCTGCGGCCGATCGTGTGCCAAGCTCTGCGCAGGCTAATCAACAAGGGCTGCCAAACAGGTAGAGTTGCTCTGTTGAAGAAATGCTTGCCCCTTTTCCTCCAGCAAAGTGGTCATGAGTGGAGCTGTGTTTACACCAGTTCTGCTTCCCATTGCAGAGGGCAAGGGTGGAGAAAGGGGGCAGAGTTGCTCTGTGCAGATACAAAGGGTATTGGATTGCTCTGGGGCTCTGCTATGTAGAACACCCTGCTGAGACCCATCTCCAATTCAAAGAAAATGATAGGTTTTATCCAGTTTGTAGTCTAAAAAGAATATAGGAAGTAGCTGTATACTAAGTAAGACTGTTGTTCAATCCAGCCCAACATTGTCAACACTGACTGGCATGAGGCTTACTAGGGTTTCAGGCAGCAGTCTTTCCTAGTCTTGTAAGGATTGAGCCTAAAACTGATTGAGCCTACATATAAAGGATATGCAGTACCACTGAGCTGCAGCCCCCTCCCATCCGAACAACAAATTGTCAACTACCTTCTTTTTCCAGTTCCTTGAATGGAACAATGCTCCATGTGCATTTTTGTCACTTAAAAATGCCCTGTCACCTTGCCTTGGGTAGATGAACTTTTGTGTAAAAAAAATCTATACAGGATCCCTGCTATCTATTCAGCATTTTAAGACCTTCTGAACCATTAGTTATGGAGAGGGATCATGGAGAAATGTGCAACATATTCAAATGAGTTCATTTATATTATTAGATTTATATCCTGCCTTTTTTTCTTACAAGTAGCTCAAAGCTGCTTGCATAATACTCCTCCTCCTGCTCTCAGTCTATCCTCACCACCGGAACAACCCTGTGAGGCAGGTTGGGCTGAGACTCTGTGACTGGCCGAAAGTCACCTAGCTGGCTCCACTGCTGAGCAGGGACCAGAATCCAGATCGTCTGCGTCCCAGTCCTGCACTCTTAACTGCTACACCATTTTATGAACCAGATCTGCAGTTTCTACAACAGGCTTGCTTTTTCTGAGTTAGTGGATTCTGTGGTGTTGCAGACTGTTTTGGGTCAGGGTGTTTGCACAAGTGTGCATTTACACACAAGAGCATGGCTCTTACACATTCCTAAATAAAAGTCAGTTCTGTCAATGGGTAAACTATGGACTGAAAGACATCAACAATAAAAGAACAGATTTATCAAAAATCTATGATCTCTAATGACTGGCTCTCTACCCTGTATTTGCATCCCTCCACTTGCAGAGGGTGAGCGCACTGAGGTTGGTCGCTTTTCAAAGAACTTCCTGCCCATCCTGTTCAATGCATATAGCCAAGAGGGTGCTGCCGGTGAGAGCCCTGTTCATCGTCGCTCTGTGCTAGACACCATCAGGGCTTACTTGACAGTCACTGAGCCACAGGTGAGCAGAGTTCTGTGTACAAGATGTGGCTGTTAAGTCTTCACCTTTGGCTGGAGTGCTGGAGGTAGAAAGGGGAGGTGTTTGTAGCTGGGTGGATCTTGGAAACAGAGGAAAAGGGGGCTCTGAGAGTGATGCTCTTTGTATTTATTACAGATGGTGCATGGTTTCCTGGACAAAGCAAGTGAGAAACTAACTAGCCCCGAGAGCTCAGAGTTCACTAGGTAAAGTCACCCTGGAGTTGGGATCCAGTGTCTTTTTTCCCCTGTGTTGGAGTAGGATTTCCCTAGAAGTGCTGCATCGCCCACTTGCTCCAGTACAATACAAATTGGAGTTGTCCGTGTTCCCCTGTGGGAGGAGGCACCTCTCAGCCTGCATCCAGGGCACTCACTGAATTCTCTTTCAATTCTACCCACACTTCTCCAGTTAAATAAGTTGGGATGGTGGGGGTAGGGGAAAGAATTATAAAGAGAATGCACATAGCTTTTCCAGTCTTGACCCCAGCTCAAAAGGTGTAAAACATGATGAATTTTCAAGGTAATAATTAGCTGGAGTTGGCTGTGACCCATCCTAGAGTTGTACAGAAAGGATTTGTTTTCCTGTTTGAGAACTGTGTCTTCTCTGCTGCAGGCTTTCCATGTTGGACCTTGTGGTAGCCATGGCCCCCTACATTGATGAGCTGTCTCTGCATGTGCTGTATGGCACCATCCAGTCCTCCTTGCAGGTGAGCTGAACTTCAAGTAGGTGTTGGGGCACATGCTGTGACTTGTGCAGTGTTTGATCCTTGGGCCTTCCTACTGGATGCCTCCAACATCAATTATGGAAGGGAAGGGCAGGGCAGGGCAGGGAAGGGCATTAGTCATTATATTTAAGGGGACTGGCTTTTTTGATCCACTTCAAAAGAAGAGGTAAGAAAAATGCAACTAGCTAGAACAGGAGTGTGGATTCAGGTTGCCCACATGGTGTAAACTGCTCAGAGAGCTTTGACTGTGCCGTGGTATAGAAACGAAATTAATAACAACATTTAGGTAGGTCTACTCCCTGTAAGTTCTGTTGATGGATAAGATAATAGTATGAGATCCACTGCTGCCCTGGTCAGGTCATATCAAATAATACTTTTGTTACCAGCTCTGGAGGTCTGCTGTCCTTGGGTGCACCTAACTTCCTGCAAATTTCTTGTCCAGTGGTGATCAGCTACGTGGAAGTTGCTTATACTTCAACAGATTGGGTTTTACATTTATTTTTAATTTCTATACCAGCCAATAGCCAAGGCTCTATGACCCAGATGGTGTTGACTCTGTGGGAGAGACCAATGCAGTTGACCTTAACGCATGTGCTCATGTCATCTTTAACATTTGCTGAGCATATGGAAACTCCTTGGCTAGAAAATGCATAGGTAGTAGAGACACAGCTTCTGCTTTGTTGTTGGACCCTATGTCTCATGTCTTTTCAAGACTGAGGACTGGAAGTCTGTATGATTCTGTGCATGTAGCCTGTACCTCCTGTATAATCTCTCTGCTCCTATCTTTCTAGAACAAGGACCACAGGATACAGAAGAAAGCCTATCGGGTGCTGGAGGAAATCTGTGCCTCTGACCGGCCTGCATGTCAGAATTTTGTGCAAAGTCATCTGGAGGAGCTGCAGACTGCCCTCCTGGGCTCCCTGCCTAGTGCCACTTCACCTGCCAAAAGGGTAAGGGAGGACTATCAGAAGGGCGAGCAGAGATGTTCTGGGTGCTCTTCTGTTGTTCCAGCGCTAACCACTCCCTCTTTGTCCCCAGCCCCGGCTGAAGTGCCTCTTCCATGTTGTCAAACAGCTCACAGCTCAGCATGAGGACTTTGTTACTGCCCTGGTGCCAGAGGTGAGAAAGAAACTAGGGAATTTTTTGCAGGGTTGTCTCGTCAGAAGATGGAGAGAAATTGTGCTTTTGGGCCAGCATGTTGGAATGAGTGTGTGTGTGAATGTGCGTGATTTCCAAAGAGGGCAAATGATACTTCTGATTTGTTATAATAAAGCCTCACATCCCTGTTATCTATGAACTGCATTTTTGCCCCTTCTAGACCTTCTGCCCAGACAAACCCATGGCAAATACAGCTGCATGTATACCACACCACTTTTGTTCTTCACTGGCCTTTTCTTTTCTGCACAACATATTATATAGTTTATATGAATCTCTTGCATGGGAAAATGTTCATGCCTAAGGTGGCTGTAATCTACTTGCTAGGGTAGTTTTTAAAGTACATTTGAACTTGAGAATAGCTACTGTTCCAGCTTTCCCTCTGTGGAAAGCTGATGATGCAGTGAAGTTGAAGGTGTTGTGTAGATGGTATCAGGATGCTGACTTTGTCGTTCCCAGGTAATTCTCTGCACCAAGGAGGTGTCTGTGGGTGCCCGTAAGAATGCTTACAATCTACTTGTAGAGATCGGTCATGCCTTCCTGCGTTTTGGCCCCACTCCAAAGGGTGAGTTCTCGTCGTCCATATTAAACTACTGCCTGAAAACCATGGCCCTCCTTGTCCCATGTTTCTTCATACTTTCATCAGTAAAGGCTGTGTTGGCTCCTGTCACCTCCTCTCCTTTTTTTGACAATCTGACAGTTCTTTATCTCTAATGCTTCAGTTGTTCTAGTAATCCTATGTAACAATCTCCTGGCATTATTCCATATAACTCCAACTGTGTGCTTTTAAAAATTGTCATAACTTTGCACTGAATTTCCTAATTTTACCTACAGTTGCAGGCAATTGAGCCAGGGACCTTCTGCGTGCAAAGCATATGCTGCATCACTGAGTTATAGCCTTCCTTCCTTTTGGGTCTGTAATATCTCAAAAGAATTCTGAATTGCTTGAAGACCTGGGCCTTAACATTGTCACCATGGTGCCTGGATCTAGGCTGTGTCACAGTGGCGAATGCTCCTTTTTGAAACCTTTACTTCCCATGGATATGTGAGCACCATAATGGGTGTCGTCTTCCTCCTGGGAGATGCTCTTCAGCCCCAGTGCAGGCAGTATGCGGCTGGTGATGTCTTTACCTGTGGTTATTGTAATTAAGATACACTAACTCCCAGCATTTTCCCCTTCAGATGGAATGCAGCGCTACCTCCTCTTGGTGTATGCAGGCTTGACCGGCTCTGTCACCATGATCAGCTGTACTGTGCTTGCTCTTTCCCGTCTGCTCTTTGAGTTCAAAGGTAAGATAGCTAGATGCTAGCAGCTTTCTGGGTCATGGTTTCTATCATGGTTTAGAATAGATCTTTTCTCTGGGATGGCGGGTACCAAAGATGAAGGGGTACTAGGCAGACTTTAGGGACTGCCTTTGAACCAAGCTATTGCATGGGTGGCCATTCCTGCAAATATGCCTAAGGATGATGCCTCTGGCTGTACCGATTGCTCTGGAGAGAGAAAATAATGCATCCTTGGGGATCCTTCCACCAGACCAGTTGTAGGCACTGTGAGGCTTGGTTACAAATGGGTGGTGGGTTGCAGCTGGGCAGAAAGGTTGCTGATGCCTGGTAGTAACCTAGAAGCCTCTGTTTATGCCTGAGAACAGAAGAGAATTTGAAGGATTGAAGTATGGCATTCTGTACAACTGCAGAACACGTCGGGCCGGATGCTTTGGAGCAGCTCATGCAGCATGTCTGTTTCATGGTGGGCTCCCGGACACGGGATGTTGTCAAGTCAGCCTTGGGCTTCCTCAAAGTGGCACTATTGCTGCTGGACACTGCAGCATTGGGTCGGCACATGGAGACCATGGTGAGACTGGCAGTGGGAGGGGAAGGGAAGGCAGTGGGAATGAGGAGAACTCTAGCTTACATAACTGAAAAAGGAGGAAAGTGGGGAAAGGGATTAGTTCTGCCTCAAGACTCTGGAGAATCACCCATGATTTGTTTCTGAATTGTGAACTCTGGGTTGTTTAAACCATGAGTTGTTAGTAAATGGATTGTCTTGCTAGGCTATAGAGGTGTAATAAGCAAGAATGGAAATGAATAAATAAAACCATCCAATTACAGTGCCAGAAAGGCATTTGAGATACAGAAAGGGTGTATGCAAAGGAGGAAGAAATAATCTAGGGATTGAGAAAACAAACCCACCATTTGTTCACTTTCCACATAAAACATGGGCAGGGCAACAAAACCATCAATTACTTGAACCATTGATTAGCATTATGTGTGAACAAGGCTACTGGGTAATGTCTAATCTTCTTAGGATGTAGCGCATGTCCAAGGATGTGCATACATGTCCATGTGTCTGAGAGAAGAGAGAGCACTGATGAAATGTACTTTATGGGAGGTGTAATGGGGCCATAGTGAATAGATATCTAAAGTTTGTGTTTTTCTTACAGTTGGAAGCCATTGGAGGGTTGTCGGATGACATGAGGCGCCACTTCCGGGTGAAGCTGCGAAACCTACTTTCCAAACTGATCCGCAAATTTGGGTTAGTACTAGAGTTAAGGATTGGGATTATCATTATCTTCCTCAGATACTGTTCATTCACAACTAATTGCTTTCTACACTGGTTGGTCTTGGACTGTGCGATCCTGGATACAGGTACATATACAAACATAATTGATACAGAAGATCAGCTATTGAGGGTTGCATGTGACAACAGTCTTAATAGGCACTGGTTTCCAAATTTGAACTGCTTTGGGTAGGGGGAAGGGGCTTTAGCCTCTATCCTATCACAGCAGTCAGAGCAAAAACCCTGCAATGGAATTTCAGTACAACCCCACCCACCCACAAATTGAATTGCTACTCTTGTGCTGTTAATAGCAGTGGTAAACCAGCAGTCAGGTTGGGATATCTGGGCAGGGAGGGGGTTATCCTCCCACCCTTGGAGCTTTGTGAAGTGTGTGTTTGAGTGCACATAGGTATGTGGCCATAGGCACCCCAGCAAGCACCTGATGCCACCCTTGGAGCCAAAACCAGTGTGTAGCTCTGCTTTATATTCTCACAAGTATGAAAGTCTATACTTACAGATTTTACTACTCCAAGGACATGGATGAACCAGGAACTATAAATCTTTTGGCATATTAAATAATAACTTTATCCACATTTAGGGTAAATACATGAGCAGATGCCTTTTTAGAAAATCAAGAGCTATGTGCATAGTTCATTGACAACTCCATTATAGTTGTGAGTTTATATATTATAACTAGACAAATAGATCTAGAAGTGCTCCTCCATTTTAGTTCATTAAGAGAGAAGTGGGATCTCCTGCTGCCTACTTGACTACAAATGTGGGTCACCAGAAGGAGAATCCATGTGGTGGGAAGCATGTTTGTTGAAACCTGCTTCTGGCAATTACTACAAATCCCCCTTTTTATATCATTTTTAACCAGCTCACTTCCATTTCTGTAAGTTTTTCTGTCCAATGTTTGACCCACTTGGAAGAATCATACAACTTTGCTGAAAGCTCTTTCCTCATCTCCTGAATTTTAAGCTGAACATGCTACCTGTTAAACTAACTTCCAAAATTAGCTTAGGGGACAAGGGGAAAATCTGGTTTTCGTGATTCTGGACTTTGATCTTTCCCTTCTAGCATTGAGCCTTTGCAGGCTTTGCTCCCAGAGTCATATCGCAAGGTGCTGCTGAATCTCCGCAAAGCTGAGGCAAGGAACCGCAAGCGGCAAGCATTGAAACGGGCAGCAGCCACTTCTACAGAAGATGAAGGAACATCAGTGCGACACAAGGGAGGAGAGAGGTATGGATATGTTACAGGCTCAGAGTGGAGGCTAAAAGATAATTACCTTTTTAATTCTAGAGTAGGAGGGTGCTCTGAGAAAAGTACTTAATGGGCCCTCTGTAGGTTTTACTTGGCTTGTCTCCCACTTTCTTGTTTGCAGCATAGAGGAGATCCTTGCAGACTCAGACTCTGACATGGAAGATGACATCAAGCAGCATAAACGAGGAGAGACCAGGAAAGTACTGCGGCAACAAAGCCAAGCCTGGCTCAAGGAGGGAGAAAGCGATGAACCTCTCAATTTCTTGGACCCTAATGTGGCACAGAGGGTTCTAGGTAAGGAGCTGTCTGAAGGTGACACAGTGCCTGTTCAGGGTCTTGGTCAAGGTGTTGAGAAAGACACGATGACTTGTGCCAGGGCTTTGCTTCTGTGCCTCATCAGTCTTTTATGCTCTTCTGTCATGCAGCTACCAAGCCAGGCCCTAGCCAGATTGGTAAAGTCAGCCATGACTTCAAGGTGTCTGCTGATGGTCGCCTCATTATATGTGAAGAGGAGGAGGAGGAGGAAGAAGGAACAAAAGGTACGAGGGAAATGGCCCAATAGTTGGCCAAATGTATTCATGGAAGGATGTGTGATTTCTGGTAATACTGGTCTCTACTAATCACCTGTGAAAACCAGTCTTACGTACCATGAGAGTGCAACAATATTATATGCAGTTGTCTGGCATTGAAGAAGTTATACAACATGGTTTTTAATATACACCCACAGGGACAAAGGAAGTTGTAGTCCAATGCCTGCTGGGGGACATGGGGCTGAGGGATGCTGGTCTACATAAACCATAACAAAAACTTTTTAAGCAAAGTAAGCAACGATGAGAAAATACATTTGGATGTATATAACTGGAATACTTCTTATGTAAGTTCTGGAAGTTTTTGGTTTCTTTTAGAATCCAGGAATTTCTTAGTAGAAAATCCAAGATATTTGTAATGCAAAGTATTGGTCTTCTCTTCCTGCACACCTCACTTCATCTTGTTTGTGAACCTGATGGGCAAGACCTGTCTGAGTCATTTTTATACATTATATTCTGTGTTTCTTCTAACGGTGCTCATGGTGGCTCATGAATTGTAATTAAAATGCTGAAATGCATGCATTAAAAACTTCCAGTTAAAATAGCTTCAGATAAAATGTGGAAAAGAAATAAATACTGTTAAGTATAAGCGAATGCAAATGCTGGTTATATGTGCTACCTGCTTGGCCTCTGTGGGTCCTATGTCTGATGTCTCTCTTCTCTGCACAGGTGTGGATGAGGAGATGGCAGATCTAATGCAGGAAGTTGGGATCCGGAGTGTAAGTATAGAAAGGGAGAACAGGGATTTGGGGCATCTTCCTAGAATGCTGATAAACCTGTATGTTATTACTGAGCTGGATTGCTCTCTTGATGTTCAGAAAGAATTGATTTTAGACCTCAAAAACTGCTTTCTTTGGCAAGCAGTAATGTAGGACAGTGGGAAAGATGACTGCTAAGAAGGCTAGTTTATTCTGTATATGCTCAGACCAATGTATGAAATATGCTTTTGTAGAAGAAAGCTCAGAAGCGCCGATTCCGGGAAGATGCAGCAGATGATGATGATCCTATGGCTGAGGCACAACCCCAGTATAAAGGTACATGTGTGTTGCTTGGTAGTTGGTGTGGATTGGCTACTACTTCCAGCTGTGGGTTTATGCCCATGCAAAGGGGAGGAGAACAAATGAATGGCTGTTGAGGGTGAAGCCTGCCCTACACATGTTGTGTATATCTTATGTACTTGAAACAACCACAACTTTAATGTCTTGCTAGGTCCCCACCTCAGCCTTAATATAATCAGGTCATCACTGTAATGATACTTCCACATGATATAGGAGGACTGTAAAGTAGTGAGAATCCTTTGCATGGGGAGCAGGTGGAGGTGACTTAAGCAGCCTGTATGTTAGGCTGGCCCTAAATAGAGGAATGCTACCTATAGTCTCCTAGCACTGGTGAGAGGCGTGAGCAAGTTTCATCTGCCTTTTCCAGCTCTAACGTTATTCCTTTCCTGTTTCTGTTCTTCACAGCTGGAGGCAGTGGAATTCATCGGCCTGTTGGCAAGAATGCAGCCCCTGGCATAGAATACAAGGCAAAGGTTAGATCGTAGTATAAGTAGATAGGGCTTCAAATGCCACTTTCAAAACTTCCATGTAACCTTGATGGGATGGGAATTTAAATTGCATCTATTAAGAATGATCTATACAATCATGGAATTTTTACTGTCAAGGTTAGGGAGGAGATTTGCACCTTAGCTTGTCTCTTCAGCCAGACCTGAAGATGTCAGGAGGGGTGAACTGCCAGCCCTGGACAATCTCAAGCTGTGTGCTGAATCCAGTGCTTGGCCACAGGGCAAGGAGCTGGTTGATGTTGGGAGTTCCCTGGCATGATGAGACAAAGAAGATGCATTTTCTGGAGCATATTTACATTCCATATCACAAGAAAAATTCTTTTCTGGCTTTCACAACAATGGATTTGTATGATTTTTAAAGAATGTTAGCAGGTTATATGGTACAGGAGACTTTTTGAGGCATGCCTTAAAGCATTATAGCTACCAGAGATCACATTCCCTCAGAGGCAGTGTTTTGAGGGCCTCATAGGTGAGGAAGGCCAGATCTATCTTCCTTTCTTCTCTACTTCACATGCCTTGAAATGTTGGCTTCTAAAGTTTTCCCTTTTCCAGCTTTCCAGACAAATGGGCAAGGAGAGAAGCTGGAGGAGCTTCCATAGTAGTGACAGTTCCTGATGGTACATAGTTCTCATGATCTTTGATCAAGAAGCACAAGAGGATGGACCAGACAGAAGAGGGGCTGCAGCCTGAATTAGAATACTCCATGGGCTGGACTTAACCCACAGTCTAGTGGAGGGGTGGGCAGCTTGCGGCCCTCCAAATATTTTGGCTCATAATTTCTGACTTAACATAGTCAATGGTGTGGGATAATGGGAGTCATAGGTCAAAAGATTGAGATGGGTGCAACTTGCCCACCTGTTAATGCCCATCCCTAGCAGAGAAGCTCCCTTTTGAAAATGAGTTTCAGTACTTCTAAGTCCATTCTAAGTTCACAGATGTTCTGGTGGCAAGTGTAATCCTGGAGGCACTGAAAGTTGCACTTCTTGATGTGATGTGGGAAGCCTTTTGCAGGGTATGTTCTGCATTGCATATTTTGGTCTGACTACCTCCTACTAAGTACTTAAATGTCTTACATTCCTACAGAAAGGCAAAGGTGACATCAAGAAGAAGGGCCAGTTGGATCCTTTTGCTTACATCCCACTGAACAGAGCAAAACTTAACAGGAGGTACGATGCAGGAATGGTGTGGGAAGGGTATAGGAAGCTGTTTATACCTGCTCAGATTATGTCTCTGTCCATCTAGCACGGTGCTACTTGCTTCAGTGGTACTGAGCCTCTTTCTGCCCAAGAGCCAAATTCTATTCCAGAGAAACTCTCACAAATTGTAGGTGAAGCCAAAAGCCAAAGAGGGAAGGCCAAAATACAAAAAGTACCAGCATATGTCAGCTTAAAGCTCTCATTGCCAGAACTAAGCCTTTGGAAAGGAATTTCACACTTTTAGAATGGTGAGGAAAGCTGCAGAGCAGCCTGGAAATCGAGGAATGACTGATTGGGGGGAAGCTGGGAGGAAGTGAGTGTGGCCATTCGGAACCCCAGAGGGATAGACTGAGACTCAGTCATGACATTCTGCACCCCATATGTACTCTACATGGTGGTGTTCTCCGAGATGTCAGGCAGAAGTCTTTCCCACCACCTGCAACTTCATTCATTTAGTAGGTGGTTTCAGCAACTGAAAGTGGAGCCTTCTGCATGCAGTCATGTCGTTCCACCAGTTAGATTGATTCTCCCTCACCCCGAAAGATGGGCAGGGAGAAGTGCTTCATAGGGTAGGTAAGGCCCTGCTTGGTCTGGATTTCCCTGTGTGTAAAATTCTGTCGGAGAAACATGGATTGAAAGAGGCTTGGCTGCAGGCAATTCTCCATTCCAATCTATTATGTGTTTCTCTTGTAGGAAAAAGGTCAAGCTTCAGGGACAGTACAAGGGCCTGATGAAGGGGGCCCAGCGTGGGGCCCAGGCAGGCAAGAAACATCACAAGAAGCAGCGTCGTGTCTGAAGGAGAAAGGTTCCCCTCTGAAAACTCCTCAGTGACACCATTCCTGTTGAAGCAATTGACTGTCTGGGTTTGGTTGTGGCCATCTCACTCACAACACGAGTTGCTTTGTGCAAGTGGATCGTGATGATTAGCCCTGCACATTGGCAGCGTGGACTACTTTTTTCAGTTGAAAAAAGAAGAGCAGAAGATGTGTATATCATCCCATTATATAAGGATCATTGCAGTAAAACTCTTCTCTGTAGTGGCTTTCCTTGTTCCTTGTTTCAGCAAGTCAGGAACTGTGTGTGGGAGGGCAAGCAGTGTGACCTCTAATGAATGTTTGAGCAATAAATGCTAATGACACCACTTGCACTCCTTCCTTAATAACCCTCAGAAACTGGTAATGTAGTGTTGTATTTCTGTATGCTTCCTCTGGCTAGATATTTCTAGGAACCCTCCCAAGTTTTCTTGGGTTTCCAAGATTTAATTCTGTGGAGGATAAGAATGTTGGTGACAGGTAGATATTAGAGAAAATTGAAGTATTGTTGTCACAGAATCAGAAATTCTGGATTCTGAACCAAACACTGCCTGCTTTATTTTAGATTACTTGTTACTATGATGTCTGAACCCACAGGCTGTGACTGGATTAGTACAAAATGACCACCTACTATGAGTAACTAATGGTATATTGTCATATCATGTGAACCTGCAGTTTCCTGTTTGTCCCAACCCATCGCTTGTTTTAGGAGGAGTTGCAACAGATTGCCAAACCTGGGTGACTGATTTCTTCGAGGCAGAGAAAGAGAAAAGGGGCCAAGAAACAACCCATGGTGAGCCTGGCCATCTGTTGGGCACACTGTGGGCTCAGAGAGTAGGTTGTTTTGACATATGACTTCACTCTGTTTCATTAAAACCTGAGCTGCTTATTGAGAATTTTTCTTCTGCCACTCTGGAAAGCCAGATCCCACAGGCCAAAGTTGTGTCTAGTTGTAATCCTCTGCACATGATTTGTTTTATATGTAAATATGGAAATCTGCTTTTAAAAGAGACAAAGCAGAAGCAGACCTCCTAGTAAAGTAAGATTAAATAGTTTGAAATTGTTAATAGTTGCCACACATAGCTTCACCATTTTTGGTTGCAGCAGGTTCTTTTAGTATCTTTGAATTCCCCTTTTCTTGAAAATTAAAATCTTTTTTCACCAATGGGATTAGAAAGGGTTTAAAATTTTTTTCCAAGCATAATATCCATCTTTAAGGGCTAGATAATACACCCAGATTTTAAAAACTGATGAGAAACATTTGAAGGCTCAGCTCTGGACTGTTACTATTAAGTTTGGATGTAATGCAGCAAAATATGCAAGTTTTGAGACAAATAAGTTTAGCTAAGCAGTGTTTCTTTCCTCCCACTGGAGGCAGTAGGCGTAATTCAGGGATATGAGTATGTTCTCAGGGTCAAACTAATATCCACTACTTACCTACCTACAAATTGCTAGCCCTGTAAGAAAACATACAAACAGCTGTATTGAGCTTTTGTATGTCTTCCTTTTTGCAGTTAATACCAGCTCTTGAGGGGACTGGATTAAGATCACAGGGCAAATGGGGATGGACTGAAACATCACCACCCTGTAGTTCTAATGCAAGCAGCCCTTTAAAGAGGCAGGGGAAGTGATGCATTCCTTACATGTGTGGGGCCACGTTTGTTGTTTGGATTCATTTGGAATTGTTTGAAGAACAGCTACTGCTTGCTATGGAAAGCATGCCATTATTCAGCAGGGCATTCTTCATCAGACTATGTGCTTCTGGTTTAATTAGATAGCCAAATCAAAGCTAGTTTGGCAGCTGTGCACTTGCTCCCTGTTTTACTTGTAGCACCATCAGCAGATAGACATAAGGATAGAGGAATTTATTTTTTTAACTGCCTGGATGTATTTGTACGTTTGGTTCACTATTAGGAATATTCCCGTCAAAGAGCAATGAATTTGAATGTTGTAACCAGGAAAAATAGTTCAGCCCAAGCAGCAAAACAGTGATGCCCAGAAAGGACTTTTTTCTATTCTCTATTTTTCATTCAGTGACACCAATCCCATTACCAGCCCTACTGGGTGAAAATGACGTTGTGGGAGAGGAAAGAGTTTTTAAATATATACTTTTAGAATTTTCAATATTAAATGAAGCAGTTTCTTCTCTTATCTGCCTGCCAAAATTGCAATAGAATGATGGGTGCTGTTCTTAAGGACTTTGTGGGCACCTACTGAATAATGGGTCTAACATCACTGGTAATAGGATATACCACCATCCCTGCCTATGCAATTCTTGAGTCTACATAAGTACTGAAGAAAATGCTGGATCAGATTCACACGGTGGCCAACAGCTTCCTTTGGAAAAGGAAAATACTGAATGAGTGCAATAAAGCCCTTCTGCTCATTTTCTCCAGCAATTGGTTACAGAAACATGCTGCCCTTTAAAGTAAAGTTTAGCCATCAGGCCTTGTAGCTATTGATAACCTTATCCCACACAACAAGGCTATGATTGCTTTTGTGTTTTTCAGTTTCAAGCAGTAGAAAGTACAATGTTGGACTGGTTTTCATTTGATAAGCATATTGTAGACTTAAGCAGGGCTCTCGTATCTGCAGACTCTCCTCTGCATCAACTCTGACTATACAGATATTTTACAACAACCAGTCAGCCATCTTGCCCAGCCAATCTTGCTTGATGAAAAAAATATGAAGATCTCAGAGCATACTGATTTTTTGTAATCCCTGAGTTGGTTTAACAAAGACATTACAGTATATGGATTTTGGAATGTGTATAATCAGTCTTCCCTGAGGCTGTGGCTCAAGGGCTTTGCTTCGCACTTACCTTTCCTCAGTGTGCAATGACAACTAGCAAAGCTGACTCCATACTGGACCTCAATTTTTAAGAACACTTTTTAAGGAGCCCAAAACCTGTCTCAAATGTACTCATTATCAAAGACACTAGAGAATGTGAAAGCTCATTTTGAAAGGTCATAACTGATTATTTCCTGCAACCTCCCTCCTCCACAACATGGAAAAGGGCAACCACTGTAGAGATAGATCCCCATGGAAACCCACTTCTATTTTTAAACAGTGTTACAAAGGAAAAGCTATCAGCACAGAAAGGATTGAGTTGGAAGGAAGCATTTGAGTGAGAGACAAATGTAACCTTCAGATCTGTCAGTACAATTGTACTCAAATTGGCAAATTCAGTTAAGAGAACCCTAATTCTCACTCCAAAGAAATCAGTGTAGAAACATGCTAAGCAATAGGGAGAAATTGTAGCACTAATTAAAAAAGTTATTCTCTGGGGGCCTTCCCCACTCCACCTTTACCAAAGTGTGAATGATTTGTAAGGTATCTTATTCAAGTAATGGAAGCAGATATGTAGGAATAAATCCTCCAATAATAATTACTTTATTTCAGGCAAATTCCATTTTGAGAATCATTAGGGAAAGAGTTGAAAATCGAACTCAGTATCATAATTCCCTTATACAAATCTATGTTGTAACCACACTTGAAATAAAATGTGGACTAGAGATGGTATTTTTATTAGTGCAGGTGCTGTAGCCTCAACTCAACAGGGATAAGTGAATTGTTATTCAATAGCTGTATCTTCTATATTGCAAAATAGTCTGTTTTTCAGTTTCAAAAAGGGCTATAACCATAGCTTCTTTACCTGACCTCCTTTTTCTTAAGCTTATCTAGGTTTTTTCCAACATCTCTTACCTTGCATTCTTGCAGACCAAAACATCTGGAGGGCCACAAGTTGCCCAACCTGATTTAAGAGCAGACAAATACACCCTCCTTTCCCACTTCCAAATAAACAGTTGTTTAAATCATGTTCTTCTGAACTTTGCCCAGCTTATTGACCTCTTTTGTGAATTACTGTGAGAAATGCAGAGCATCATAAGCTGCCAGACAGTACAAGAAGAGCAGAATACAGAATTCTTAGATTCATGCTTCCCAATATAATATGTAGACGCTTTTAAAAACTACAACCAAATAAACAGTACTCTACCCATGCCTTCCTTGCCAGGATATGTTTTCTCCCACCTTTTGCAGGTACAGTTATAGCAGCATTTTTCTTTTGCAATTGGGTCAACACAGCCTCATCACTCATCCTCATCTATGAAAACATACCACTCATTGCCTGGATTTCCTCTCCTGCATCTGAATCTCTCTTTAAAATGCCTGCTGTGAGAGCCTCACCGTATTTGTGGCTTTCATTGGAAAAAACTTTTTGTGTTCCTGCACCAGCTACATGAAGGCCGAGTCGAGACATTGATATGGTCTCTTAGGGTAACTGAAGGGGTACAAAACAAATGTTTCAGAGACTCAGTTAATTTTGTCTTTTCAGGAAAAGAGTGGGCTGACAAGTGTTCCTTAATATGAGCCAGTGTACTCCAGCACAGTTATACAACTGTGAGCTCTGATACATGCTTGTATTCACTGTGCCCTACCATTGTTGGGTCTGATTGTAAAAACCTGCATTAGAGACTAGTGAAATCCCATTAGGAAATGCTTTTGGAAAATGCTGCTGAACTGTTTGTTCTGGGCCTGTTGTAGTGAGATACATCTAATCAACACTGTGGCATTTGGATCAATGTCTCCAATGCTTCAAACTTTTGAAACGGCTGAGGAATTGGCTTTGTATTTTCACTTTACCTGCTTCTTAGTTATGTTAAGTCACTGGTTTCATATCATAAAACCAGCCTCTTTAGGGAGGCACATTAATTTGTTTGGGCAAGTACCTTGTTTTAAATGCAAAATAGCCTATTTCCCCCAAGACAGGGGTCTGCTACCTGCGGCTCCAGAGCCGCACGTGGCTCTTGAACCCCTCTGCTGCGGCTCGGTCGCTCAAAACATGCACCGGCACAGCCACTGATCTGCTCAAAGCTCCACTCAGGAACGCAGTACTAGCTAGTTAAGTAAATCGCTATATTCCTCTGCTAAACAAGCTTCCTGCAGGCTCTCATGTTACACAAAACGCTGTTGAAAGGATTCTCTTTGTCCCAGTGTAATCCCCTTCATCTCAATGTTAAAAGCTGCACTTGGGGCCTGTCACAATTCACAGCACTTGACTGTTTATCTGCTAATCAGTCACTAAACGCACCATCTCCAGCACAGCCTTCCATATGCAGACCTGCACCACACCACCTGTGCCCCCCCGCATAGGCCAACCATGGGTAAATCGAAGAAAACCAAACCAAACGTTTTATGGTATGTGGGTAGATTCATTTGCTTTTACTGCTCACGAACTTATGGGGCTTGCTGTTTAATGCATGCAGCCCTTTAGCACTGACTTTGACTCTTCAGGAAGCTGTTCTATTCAAAATACATGAAAAGAGTCATACTAGTTTATAATGTAAGATTAAAAACAACAGTTTTTAGTGACTGAACAAGAGCTGCAGCTAAATCATAATGAAGATATACATAACATTAAGGTAAAAAACAATATATGCAGTGTTGTCTTCATTTTAGATGTCAAAAGGGTTTTGCGGCTCCCGGTGTTTTCTTATGTGTGGGAAATGGGTCCAAATGGCTCTTTGAGTGTTAAAGGTTGCTGACCCCTGCCCCAAGAGATTGGGTTTATCAAGGGTCATTCTCCAGTCACTGCAAAAGCATGCAGCAAGTCTAGCTTATTCTGTGTCTTATCAATCTGCTGCTTGCTACTAAACAGAAAACAAAAGTAAATTCTCTAATGGTCTGTCTGTGCTTTTCTTAGCAATGCTTGGAGAGACTTGAGCATTTATCCCTACCTCTTGATTACATCTACCTACCTACAACATTTCAACACCAGAGGGTTGCAGTTGTGTGCAAATTAAAGCCCTGTTGGAACAGAGCCTAAATATTTGCATTTCCATGCATGGGAAGTGATTTGTTGTAGACAATGCATGAATATGAATAAAGGCATATGATTAAGTTTCAGAAGTCATATTATTTCATTCCACATAGGAAGTTTGCTTTGGGTTGGGTACTGGCTCTGCAAAATAACTGTTTCCATTTGTCTTTATTAAGATATAGTCAACAGAAATTCAAGCAATTTTGTATAGTCCTCAAAGTTGTCTCCCTTCCATAATATGACTAGCTGAAAGTTTAGGAGAAAGCACAGTGATTAAGGAGTGGTCTGTTCTTTGCCAATTATTTTTAGACACTGTGGCCCCCAAAGATTAGGACCACCTTCTATCTTAGGACTTTTTCTTTGGTGCTTATTTTGCTTATTAACTTCCCTTCCAAAGGTACATCCCCGAAGAGCCTTTTTAGAAAAAATCATGTGCTTTGGCTTTTACAGACAAAACTCACTTATTGTGGTATGAACGTCATAGAAAGTCATCTATTTCACAGAGGAGGTGATAGGTATATTTTGAGATACATTGGAGGATTCTCTATCAATATAAAATCATCTGTTGCTTTGTCTTTTAATACTCCTAAATAAAAGGTAAAACAAATCAGTTAAAGCTTGATTTGAAGCAGGCACCTTATTATGCAGCTGTTGCAGACAAAATTATCATTCTAGTACATCTGGATTGACCTTAGCTTCCAGGTAATACAGACTTTCTCTTATGGGACATCTCGATTTGCTAACACAAGAATTGAAGTACCTTTCCTATAATATGGCTGCACCTTCTCCCCAATAACTACATATTCACTGCCTCTTTTTTTAAAGGTGTGTGTCTTTTTTCTTGGTAGTGGATAATTTAACCCAGTTCTACCCTCATTACGTTCAACATAGACATCTCTTCGTGTATGGTGCCAGTGTTACTTTGGATCAGCCGCTGGTTCTCAGCCTATATCCTACAGCCTATATCCTATATAATATCCTATTTCTATCCTGCTGTGAAGATGAAAGACCAGTTTTTGAGTTCTTTGGAGAAGAAAAAGGCAGGATATAAATATTTCTTTGTCCATGAAAGCACGCCTATCTCTGCCTCGTTGTTGCTCCCTTTAGATAAGTACTACCTGTTTTTTAACTAATCCTTTAACTAGGTTTTGACTGCTCAATGCTCTGCTTAGTTTTGCCCAGCCGATTTCTGCAAATCAAAATAGTATTAGAGACATAAGAGTAGGCCAGGCCGATTTTTATGGCTAGTTCGCAACCCACCTCCTACACTTACCCATATTTTTGTGGGGTGGGGAAGGGCTTCCACGCGCCTAACAAATTTTTGCTAAGTGTGTTAAAATCCAGCACCACCTCTGTGTCTCCCAGTCACGACCAACCCCACGTGTCGTTGATAACCGATCTTACGCCTACCTCACAAAGAGCTCAAAAGTCTCATATTCTCCCACCCCCTCCTGTTTCTCTTCCTCATCTGTTCTCCCCAGGCCTCGCGGAGGTGCGTTAGGCGTTTACTCTGTTCGAACAGGCCAATCATGTGAAGCAGAGGTGGCAGCGGGCGGGACTTCTTTGGAAACAGCCAATTGGCTCTCTGAGTTGAACGGCCAATGGGACGGCAAAGCGGCAGATATGAGATGGCGACGGAATTGACTATGAGGGGAGGAGAAGGCCAGAAGCGAGTTCGTAGGTAGGATGCGGCTGCGTGTGGGTGACTGGGAGGCTGAGGTGGAGCAGAGAGGGGCCGATGGATAATATCGTGTGCTGGGATGGGGAACGTGGGGCCTTCTAGGTTCTGTTGGGCTGCCGCTCCCATCATCCCTCACCATTGGCTATGTTGGCTGGGGCTGATGGGGACTGAGATCCTGCAAGCTCTGAGTGGCTACATGTTGTCCACTCCTGTTCTAGGGATATGGAAGGGTTGATAGAGGGGATATCTTGGGTTCAGGAGCATTATTTGAGATGGGTAAGGACAACTATAGGTTGTAGTAGTGGAAGCAGTAATAGTAAACTGCTTTCTGCCTTCAGTTCAGAGGTGCTGGTTTGAGGATTTGGGGGACAAAAATCTAGATAAATATTGGGTATATCTCCATTGCTGGTAAGCTCTAGCTTTCACCTTGGTGTGGATTATGAAATTATTATGTGTGATCCAGATTTAAGAGAGCATGTCACTTTCTCTAACAGAGGTTTGTCATTGAGGCATGCTGCATTTAATCTTGCTGCATACAAAAGCATGGGGGTTTTTTTTAGTGAGAGCTGGTGGCCATTATGGCTAATAACTTTGCTGGGGCCACAGCTCCCTTTTTAAATCGGAAGATAATGACCACAACTTTTAGCCTGGAGACTATTCTAGAATCTAGATATATCAGCTTAGAGTACAAAGTGTGGATTCCCAACCTACTGTCAAAGGAGCAGGATTGATGAGTTCATACAGCTGTCTCCACTTCTGCCCTCAGTGACAGGATAACTCACTCAAAAGTTGTGTTCTAACCATTTTCTGCTTGCTTGTGAATCAGTCCTCTTGATTGTTTTTCAAGGTTTCACTAAAGAATATTTACATTCTCTGCAGGCCTAAATTGACCCTAGCGCTCAATTCATTTGCACATGTCAGAATCCCGGAATCTCAATTTGAGAAGAGGGAATAAAACTCGGGTTCGTGGGAAAGACCAAGCGTCCAGACCATCTGAGGCTTTATTGTTTTACCCCCAAGGTTCCCGCAGTACACTCACGATAATGCAGGCTGCATTACCGGGCAGGCAGAGGTGAACTCTGCTGCAAAGCTTCAATACCATTACAGGGCATTTATAGGTACACAGGGACAGGGCAATTGATGCCAGAATGCAGAGATTACAGTAAGATTCTGAGGTCATCACATGCAGAACAGGTAAAGAAATGTCAGTCAATCACACTGTAACAATGAGATTAAAATATTTCTGGTATTGACACTTTAGTTGAGTAACTTGAACCCATCTCCAGGTCTGCTCAGACATGCAAATTCAAGCTGCTAGAAACTATTCATGATAAGCTCAGGCCCTTAAACATTCTGCATGATCAGGGCACATGAAGCCCTCTGGGCTATCAAAAGATTATTGTAAACTGAATTCCAACAATGACTATTTACAATGTATATTTGGGCTAAAATGGCCTACTGTAGCCTACAGCTAAAGGTGAGAGAAAGGGGGGGGGG